ACTTTTTACTGTGTTTTAATATCTGTAACAATGCTCTGGAGCTACTATCCCAGTGCCCACTCACACTGAGAAGTGGGGTCCCCTAACCATGACTATTACAACCCATGAGGGCTCTAGGGTTAGCCCTGGGAGATTGTTTTTCTAATACTTAAAGGCATGTAAATCTATATGTTCTGAAGGACCTCATCTCAGCTTAGTCCTCCAGAGGACCCCGCTAAGGGTATCCCAGTGGAACAATAGGGTGATTCTTCTCATACTGTCAGCCTGATCCCCCATTTGCTTGTCCTAGTGAGGGATGAATTAGAAACTCCAATTGGATCAGCTTGTAATGGCAGGGATGCATTGGGAAAAATTTCAGGTGCTCTTTGGTATAGAAACCCAGGGAAAATTTTCCTAGAACTCCAAAGGGATAGCTTATGTTACATGGATCCCTAGAGAAAAATTGGTGTGCCTGGTGTAGAAAGAGACACTAAGAAATGTTGTGTGGACTGGGAAGGAAATGTTCAGACAGATCCAGGAGGAATAATATTACAGAAACCTCAAGAGGAGAGCCTGTCAAGGAGAAGACAGTGATAAAATATTGTCAATAGCTACAGAGAGGTCAAGAAGGATGAGGCCTGAGAAAAGGCCATTAGATTGGGCAATTAAGAATTCATTAGTAATTTTGGAGAGAGCAATTTCAGTTGAATGATGAGGTGAAAAGTCAGAATGTAGAGTTAACAAGATAGTGAGAGGAAAGAAAGCAGGGGCATCAATTGTAGATAGCTTTCTCAAGGAGTTGAACCACAAAAGGGAGGAAAGATATGGGATGATACCTAGTGGGGATGGAACAAATGAAGGGGTTTTTTTGAGGATAGAGGAGACTGGGCATGTTTGCAAGAAACATGGAAGCAGCCAGTAGATAGTGAGAGATTGAAGAAAAGTAAAAGAATGTGGATGATAGAAAGGGCAATCAGATGGTAAAGACAGGATGGAATGGGATTGCTTTTGCAGATAGAGGGCTTGGCAAGGAGAAGGGCCACCTCCTCACGTGGGACAGAGCTGAAGAAGAGATCTTGGCAGGGGGCATAGGAATGAGGGAGCAGACTCAGATGGAGGCTCAACCTGATGGCAGTAGAAGAAAAGAGACTAAACCTTAAAATCATGAAGGGGAGACATAGCTGGCCTCGTCAGACAGATGCCTAGACCTAAATCTATGATCACTTTGGATCTCCTAAAAACCAAAAGGTGAGAAGTTAAAGACGTTTTAGAAACAGAAAGTGGCTTTTGTCACTTAATAACAGTGGTATAGTGTTCAAGACTCAGGCAAAATTAGAGGTCTGGGGAGATGCATTGCCCTGGGACTAATGAACTTTACACCTTCTCTTGGGCTTAAGCAGGCTTGACAATTACAAACCAGCTTATCTGGAGGGAGCAGAAATATTTCAGAGAGATGAACCTTTGGAACAAACCAGTTTATGTCACAAGGTACTATCTTTTGTAAATCTTATCATGGTGTGATATTTCTGCCACCTAAGAAGTTTTCTTAAAAGTCCCGCCCTTCCAGATTATCAAATTCAAACACTATGAGTCATTGATGAAGTCATGAAGCCACAGAGAGTGAAGGGTCATGAAGTTACCAGAAGGGCCTTTCAAGTAAGCTTGTTACCCAAGGACCTGGTAATTCCTGACTCATGGATTTCCCGGATGCTGTGGTCCCAGCTGGTTCCCAACTCAGGAAACAACACATGCCTCTCTAAATTTCTAGCCTTTTTCACTGGGCAGTGGCTTATTATAGGCACCCAAATAACCTTTTGAATTGAGTTATTCTTCATGTTCTTGGCATATTTCCATAACTAATTGTTATATTTCTTTTAAAAATATATATTTACTTAAAAATTTTCCCCAGTTACATGTAAAAACAATTTTTAACATCCATTTTTAAAACTCTGAGTTCCAAATTCTCTCTCTTCTTCCCTCCTCCCCCCCAATTGTTATATTTCTAACACAGAAGGTTAAATGTTTAGCAGGAATTCAAGTGATTTCTGGAATGAGTCTTTTGATGTTTTTGCTCTTTGTGAAATTGAAATTATTATATAATAATGATGGTGATGATGATGATGTATATTCTCTCTAGGTTTGTAGATGACAGCAAGATTTTTACTGAGGGCCTTTGGCAAATAACTGCACTTATTTTTTCAGCTAAGAAAGCTCAGACAAGGAGAATGGAAACAATAATACTACCAACAATAATTCTAGTTGTTGTGATAAATTGTAACTCTTAAACTTCTAATCTTTGGTTGTTCAGTAAGGATATTTTGGTTATAATTATTGTTATATTACCTATTTATGAGGCATGATTGGCTGAAATACCATTAATATACGTACATGTACACAAACAGATTTTATCAGATTTATCCTGTTCAAGTCCTACCCTTGACACTATCTGTGTGACCCTGGGCAAGTCACTTAACCACTTGGAAAATCCAAGGCAACCATTTAAGAATGTTAGTTGCTTATGTGTTAATGATCTATATCCATGGAAGGATTTTCCATAAATTGTTGCTGATGCTAATGAAATCACAGGTTTCTACAAGAAAAAAAAATTGTATATGCGTGTATATAGGGGTAGCTAGGTGGCACAGTGGATAGAGTGCAGGGCCTAGAGTCAGGAAGACCTGATTTTAAATCTGGCCTCAAACACTTTAATAGCTATGTGATCCTGGACAAGTCACTTAGCCCTGTTTGCCTTATTTTCCTCATTGTAAAATGTGCTGGTCAAAAACATGGTAAACCACTCCAGTATCTTTGCCAACTAGGATCACAAAGAGTTGGACATGACTGAAAATGACTAAACAACAACAAAAGTGTGTGTGTGTGTGTGTGTGTGTATTTATATATACCTATGTAAGTTCCTATTGAGAGGCAACATGGGGTGGTCATTCCAGTCTGGCACTGGATTAAGGAGCACTTGAATTCAAATTCTGTCTTAAGATACTAGTTGTGCAATTCTAATTAAGTCTTCTAACCATTCAAGCTCTTTTTTCATCTGTAAAATGGGGATAATAGTATCTAGTACATCTCATAGGGTTGTGAGGATCAAATATGTAAAGAGCTTTTGCAAACCTTAAGTGCTACATAAATGTTAATGATTACTATCTTGATAGAATATGCTTCTTGAGTACAAGGAATTTCATTTTTTTCTCTGTATTCCCAGTGTCTAGCACATTAGCAGGTCCTTAATACATTGTAATTTTCACATTATACTTTATATTAAAAAATGTGTACATACATCTTGTCCACCCTGTTTAGATTTTAAGCTTTTTTTTTTTTCAGTGAATTTCCCTAAGGTACCTAGCATAGAACTTTGCACATAGCAGGGGCATAATAAATATTTAACAATTTTAATTTCCAGGACCTTCCTGTTTGGTATGTTTATTTATTAAAAATCAAGTCTGTTTTATAGCTATATCTTTTAACATACACTAAAAAACATCATGGATAAGTTCTGTCAGAATAATTACTTTGTCTTCACTTGATTCCCATCTTGGCATGATGAATTACCACTATGAAGCCCATTTTGACAAGGTATGCTACTATCATCAAGAATCCTGGGCTTTACAACACTGTGTGATGACTAGCTTTGATATACTTACCTCTTCTTAGTAATGCAAGGATCTAAGACAACTCCAAAAGACTCATGAAGGAAAATGCTATCTATATCCAGAAAAAGAACTATGGAGTCTGAATACAAATCAAAGCGTACTATTTACTCTTTTTATTTCTTCTTTTGTGTGGTTCGTTTTTACAACATGACTAATGTGAAAATATTTAATGTGAATGCATACGTAAAGCCTATATCAGATTGCACGTAGTCTTGGGGTGAGGGGAGGGAGAGAAAATTTGGAAGTGAATGCTGAAAACTAAAAATAAATATTTTTCAAAAAAAGAATCCTGGGCTTTAGCTCTTACTCCCATGCAAGAGGCCTGTACAGCTCCAAGGAAGGGCTATACAAGTTATTTCACCTGTCCCAACTACACTTTCCTCTCAATGAAGGGAATAAAATTTGCCTCTTTTTTTTGAAGATCAGAGGTCATTTTAAACTCATCTTACCCAAGAGATGACCAATACGAAAATTACATAAACAAAAGCTCAACGGTAAAATCTGACAATTCTTAAGTTGTAATCAATTGTCTTGTTTTCCTCAATGAAAATTATTCAACCAATTCTCTGGATTCAGAACTTTGAACTGAAACTTACAGGGATGTTCTTTAGCTCCTTTCTCCTGAAGAGGACTATGAGGTTCATACCTTATTAGTAAGTCAATATGCCCCCTACATCTTTGCCTACCAAAATCCTCCCTTCATGGTCCAACCCTGGTGCCACCTCTTCCATGAAGTCTCCCAAGGTCCATCCAGCTAAAAAGGGATCACTCTATTTCCAATTCTCTCGTCCTCATACATAGTAGGCCCTTGGTATTTGTTGAATTGAATGATTTTTATGAAGGATACCCAATTTTTTTTAGTTTTAATGTCTCTTAGCAAGAGTCACCAAAATGAATTACTCCAAATAAACAAGCCCATTCAAGAACTGTTTAATTCAATTCAACAAATATTTATTAAGCACTTACTGTGTGTAAAGGCTCTGCTGGCTGCTGGGGATACAAAGAAAAAAATGAAGTGGGCCTGCTCTCAAGAAGCTCACATTCTACTGAGGGATTATTACAGGCACATAGATAAACAAATGCATAATTATATAAAGCAATTTCAAGAGGGAGATAGGACTAACCAACTTGTAGGAGGAGACAAGGAAGAGCTTGCTATAGAAGGTGGCATCTGAGCTGTACTTTGGAGGACATTAAAGACTTCAAGAGACCAAGGTGAGGAGAGAGTGTATTTCAGACGTGGAGAACCACATGCAAAGGAACAGAGGTGACAGAGGGAACGTGATAGAGGACGAAGCAGAGGAGAACAAGGAATGTGTTCAAGTGCTTGTCATTAAGTTCATATCACACTCTGAATAAAAACCAAAAGAGTAAATTTATTTAAATTACTAAAATAGTTTTGAAAGTCATTTTTACAAATCAGCTGCTACAATTAATGTTTCCAAAAGGTACAATAAGTAGCATATTAATCACTTAAAATTATTTGGTCAGCAAAATATTTAATAAAAACATTTACCTCCCCACCCAATACTTTTTGTATGTATAAAATGACAATTTTTTTTTATCACTTCCTGTTCATTTGGGAATTTTTTTGGGAAAATAATTCAAATAATATGACTTTGGATTGTCAGAAAATCATTTTAATAAGGATGTGTGATTTATGAACGTAGGCAGCCTCACCAAAGAAGAATTAAACCATCTATCCATTTGCTATCAAATACAGGTCATTCAAAGGCAGTTATGAAACCAATGTCTAGCTCTAATAACACTCTGAAAGAAAACAAGAATAGAGATTTTCCAAGTTTCACAAACAAAAAAAAACCAACCCTAGGTCACTCCATAATTACAAGAATCTAAGAAAAACTATAGCAACTTAAGAGACTAGAATACTATAAATTACAGATTGAAAGATAAAACTGAAATATATAAGTACATTAAATATACATTTAAAAATTCTTCATCTGTGGTATTTTTATTTTCTTTTTGGCATGAGGCACTCAAAATAAACTTATATGCATAGTAAATCTTCATATTCTTCATGGAGTTTCATTAAATGACTCAGAATAAAACACATATACAGACAGAGAAGTTAATATTATTTACTGATCCTGCAATTTTAGATTTTCATTAAAATCAAAAGCTTTAACATATATGTTTAGAATAAACTACCCAGAATTTGCCCAGCCTTCAAGGGGTAACATTGAACTTACTGTCTCATGATATATTGCCTTCCAAATCTTATTGCAGGATCAGAAATTTCTTATGGGAAGAATATTTTGAGATGGCTATACTAAAAAGGAAAGACTGAATTATTAACTGGGATGATAAGGATGCTAAAAACATCTAGATCATCCAAGTCGCAATGGCTTATTGTTAAAATTTAATTTTGTGCAAGATTTTTTCCCCCATTTCCCCAACCCTTGAAAACTTTCAGTGCTTCTGTTATTCTAAGAAATAGTTAAGAGGGTAAATCCACACCTAAAATGTGCTAAAGGAAAGGGAACAGGAAAGCCCATAGCTATGTGTGAGGAGCTGTCATACCATTAGGCCAATGAATCAGGGGTAGGGAGTGGGGAGGGCAGGGGCAGGAGCAGGGGAGGTGGCAGGGAAAGCTTTGGAAGAAAATACCTAAACTAAAAAATTAGAAAACTTAATGGGAAAGAAGTCTATCAATTCATTAATCAGACAAAACCTATAATGATTCTGCTCCAGGTTCTCAAAGAGAACTCTTTGTGGAACCTGCAAACTAACTGCAACTCTAAGGTGCAGCCTTCACTGTTCTGTATGTAACGAAGAAAAAAAATTCTCTTCAGGATAACAGACCATATTAAGATGACTAAGAAATTAAAAGCATTTACAGTGCTTTGTATTCACTATGTCCTATGTTTACAACAGAACTTTAATTTCCTTTAAAAAGAAAATAGTTCTTGCAAAAAGAGCTCTGATTCTTATTACTGGTCAGAAGGCTTGAGAAGTTCTTGGGACATGAGGCATATTTCCTTTTCTGCCACAGTTATAAGCACACCCCACTTTTCAGGGAATTTTCAGGCTGAACAGGTAATACCAGGTGGGAGATACGGCTCCATAGTCCACTTAGTTTGTCTGAATCCATGTGATTATAGGAGTTAGGGGTGTCAGAACTGGTAAACTTGGCCTTGAGGAAATCCCTCACTTTCTCTTCAATCTCCTTTAGGCCTAAGTCAGTTCCCAGGGTCTTTTCTTCCAGTAGGACTGTAAGAATCAGGGCCACATCTTTGAAGGCAGCATTTTCATGATCACAATATTTGTAGAAGATGAGAGTGGAGCCTGCGGGGAGTGATTCAAAACGATGAACCACAGCTGCATTCTGGCCATTCTTGAATCCATCAGTCAGTTTCTGATCTACTTCCAGCTTGACATAATCACTGTCTTGGGTGGATCTGCCAGTCCCATTAATTCGGATTGCACGAACCCTATTGAAGGAGGAGTAGGCGTCTGCAATCTGTTCGCTCAGACACCTAAGCGTTTCTTCAGCATCCTGGGCAGCAGTCAGCAACAAGATGGCGGGCTGGGGCCGAGGGTGGGAACTATTCAAGTGTTTCTCCAGGAACGTCTGGCTCCTTTTCCATAACTTTTCATCCTGACTTCGGTACTTATTCATAAGCTTTTTCATCTGGTTCTGGAATTTCTGCACAGCAGTGGTTTCTACACTTGTGGTTGAAGTCCAATTTATGTAGAAAAAACTGGAGGCAACAAGAATTACTAATACCAGCAGCCACGCTATGACAGAAGACTTCTTTCTGGACTCATCTACTTAGGAATAACAGAAGGGACAAACATAAACATCACTTTCTCAGCTTCACAGAAGAATTGTTACATTTTTAAAAATAAAGTTACACGTGTGCAAAAATATTCAAGGTTACATATGCAAATATGTGTATGTGTTTCTTTAGACATGGTACTGGGTAATAGGTGATGATTTCTAAGGCTTATTCTAGCTCTAAAATGCTAAAACTGCAGAAATGATTAAAAAAAAATAGCCTTATAGTAATAAATAGAAAAATGCTTCAAGCAGTTTAGAACAGCACACAGCATACCTAAATATCGTTTATTTCTGCTGCGGCACAGGACAATATGAAATTGGAAAAGAATAATATTAGATCAAATTTATGAAATGATTTGTTACAGAAAATTAGCAGTTCATATTACACCCAAAAAGTAGACTATTTTAAATTAAATGTTTTCTAATATTGCAACTGTAATATGAGAATAAAAATAAAAGGATAATTTAAATTAATCTCTTCCATATATTACTAATAACAGCTGTGATTTTCTTTTATATTCAGGCACCTATGATACCCAGTTTTTCCAGTTGCTAGTGCTTTCCCCCTTCCCAAATTATCTTGTATCTTTTGTATATACCTATATATGTACATAGGACCCTAGAATATGTACTTATTATTAGCCCTCCTCAAGGGGAAGGACTGTTTTCACTTTGGTCTTCACATACCCTGGGTCTTGGTGCACCTGTGCTCTGCACATTAGCAGGTGCATAATAAATACTTGCCAGTTTTTTGGAATCACAGGCTCATTCTATTTTTCCCACGATACAATATAATTTAACAGTAGCAAAACTGAGTTTGGAATTTTCTCATTCTCGATTACAAACCATGAGAAGGGTGCTGTTTTGCTTTCCAGCTTTGCAGCATTCTGAAACGTCCAGCATAAGTGCTCATCAACATTGAATGTATCACAAAATCTGTCCCAGTCTGTTCACTTGCTACATCCTTTTGACTATGAGGCCAACAGAGTTTAAAGGGGAGATCCCAACATGTGGCTTTTCTTATATTAAACACAGACTCTAAAATCAATGTTTTCCTAAAGAGCTCCAGCCATGTTTCTTCAAAAGCAGTAGTTTTAACTATCTGATTATTAAAATATAGAAAACTTAATTGTAGAATAATTAGAAAGGAGTCTTGGTAAGGTCTAAGGTACAGAATAAAATAGGTGGTCTCTAAGGTTCATTTCAATTCTGAGATTTTATACTTCTGTGAATGAGCTTTATCACCAACATAGTTTCACTGAAGAATAAGGTCAAGTAGGAATCAAGAGGTACTTACTTTGGTTGACAGATAATAACGATTTGTTTCTAAGGTCTGATTTATGGAAGTTATCATCTGTTGAAAAGATTGAGAAAGAAGTATAATCATTCAATTTAGGTTTTAAAATTTAGGTATTTCCCTCTAATGAAGATAAGAAAAATAAAAGCTCTATCATATGGCAAAAGAAAGAACTTTACAAGGAGACCAAGAGCGTGCAGTCATAGCTTTCAACTCGAGTTTCTGTCTCTACCCATTTTTTCCATCTTCCCATTTGTCTAAGAGGAGGTAATACTCCTTCCCCAAACTAACCCCTTCATTTATGCCTTCAATCACCTCTGCCTCCCACTTCCTTTCTTTTGACTCTGTTTCTCCATGGAGTTAATTTTATCGTATTGACAAACATTTTAAAAGAACAGTCATCCAATGCCTCTATTTCCTCACCACCTACTCATTTCTCAATATCTTTCAATATGAATTCCAGTTTTGCCCTCTACCTCAACTGACTCTCCCTAACTACTTTCTTAAAAGTTACCAGAGACCTTCAAAAACTCAAGCGCCTTCTCAATCCTAAACGCTTTTGACAGCTCAGTAGCATCTGGTAATACTATCTCTACCCTCATTTCTGATTCTACCTCTTGCCTTCACCTTCATATAACAGAACAAACATTTAAGTCAGGGGTTCTTAATCTAGGGTCCATGAACTTGTTTTAAAAAAAAAAAACTTTGATAATGAAATGTGAATATAATTGGGTTTCCTTTGTAACCTTCTATATTTTATGTATTTAAAAACATGATTCTGAGAAGGGGTCCAGTGTTCACCAGACTGCCAAAGGGGTCTTGCAGCACAAACAAAGTTAAGAACCCTTACTGTAAGTCTTTACCAAAGTAAGCACTTTCCATGGCTGAGCACTGCTGGGGAGAAATTCTTCCTTGCACCACAGTGCTTCCAGTTAACGTGGTTTCTCCCTCCTAGAATTTCTAATATATATTTTTCCACTTTATTAAACAGCATGACCTGTGTTGCATCCTATTGTTGCTGCGTCTTTAGAGCCTAGCATGGTGCTTTGTATATATTTTAGGTACTTAGGAAATATTTCCTTAACTAAATTTGACCTCTATATATTCAATATTGAGCTCGTCATCATTCGCTCAAATTCTATTCCCCTTTTTGCTTTCCCTATTTCCATTAATAGCCTCACCATCATCCCAGTCACCATGGCTAGAAACTTTAGAGCTATGGGCACAACATTCTATAGCAAGTCTCAGGGTGGACATTCCCTGAGTAACTAAGGCAACCAAGCAAATATCCCCAAACATAAACATGAAGAGACTACAAAAATAAGCCCCAGGGAAAGAGGGCTCCATACCTGGACCCTGTGAGGCTAGGGGTCAGCTATGGAACAAGGATGATAGGCAGGCAGGGACAGCTGCAACATATGATGGAAAGAGTATTGGATCTGAAGTCAGGGGACCTGGGTTTGAAGCCTAGCTCTGTTACTTACTAACTGAATGACCTTGGGTAAGTTACATCGACTTCTTTGTGCCTCAGTTTCCTCATCTGCAAAATGGGGGGTGGGGTGGGTGGACTACATGGCTGTAGTTCCTAAAGATGAGGCAGGTATTGACTGGCCTTGAGAGTAAAACTTGGGACCAGATGATGACTGGGTTCAAATCCTGGTTTTTCCACTGACTCCTTTTGGGACTAGAGGTAAGTGACTTCCCTGGGCCTCAGTTTCCTCATCTATAAAATGAGGGGGTTGGACCAAGTGACCTTTTTAAAGTTCTTTCCAGCTCTAAATCTCAGATTTTATGATCTAGACCCCCCCCCAAATCCAAACTGGAAATAAGCTATTTTTCTTCTGATTTCCCTATTAGTTTATAATATTTTATGTCTTGTTTATCTTTGTACCTCTTTCAGGGCCTAGAATAATGCTGTGTACACAGTAGGTATTCAATATGTTTGTCAAATGAAATATTAAACTGCCCAGCAAATTATAAAATTGTATAAAACTAGATCCCCACATTATCTACATAAAGTAGTTACAAATAAAATTTGAAGATCCAATACTGAATGTTGTGATGAGGTCTTTTAAGTCAATTAAAGTATCACTATCCTACCTTACTCTTAATTATTTAACAGGAGTAGAGAATGTTCTGGGACAAGTCAAAGGAAAGAAGAAAAGAGGTCAAGCACATGATAAAATTTAATATACATCATACCATCTGAAAAATGATCATGAATCAAAGTCTGGCCTACTGTAGATGCTGCAAGGAACAAGAAAGAATTGAATGTAGGCTACTTAGAGACTTTTTCAAATAAACTTTGATGTCTGGTGTCTGTATCACTCAAATCCTGAATGCTTTCAAATTTTTTTCTTTAAAACTAACATTGGATTTTTTTTTCCAGATAAAGGAAAGTGATTAGTTGGTTTTCCAAACATTCCTCAAACCCATATACTATCGAGGTTAAGAATTCCTGGAACAGATAGATAAATTTTTGGCCTCAAGACCAAAAAGCAAAAAATGAATATACTCCCCTTAAAAAAAATCCCAAATGCCTCAAGGCCATTATGAACTTGCTAGAGCTAGTCATCAAAATAAGTCTAGACTGGGATAACTCATCCCCTATAACAGCTCTTACTCAAACTATGATTGAACTTAGATATTACAGAGACTCTTAATTTTTAAAAAATTTCCCATCATGATGAGGTGTCCATAATAGTTGTTATTAAGTAACACACCTAGGATTTACCTAATTAAAAAACCAGAGCTGACACACATTCTACAGTTACCACTCCCAAACGACCGATATACAATATCATTGATAAGGCAGGACATCCTTTAAAATCAGTTTATGGAACACATTACATTAAGAATAACATTCTTAATAGCAAAATTAAAATTCTTAATAACAAACTTAAAATATTGAAAGTAGCACAAATTTCCAGAATGAAACTTTTATGGGGTAGGGCCCATATTCTTCCCGCCTAAAGGGTGGAATGATAATTAGTCACTGCCCACACAGTAATAAGCAGATGACTGTGATCCTTTTATCCTCATCAATAACAGATAGCTCTCTAAGGAGAAGACAAGTTATTAACACATTAACATGGAAAACACACAGTAGCAGCACATAGCTCCAGGAAATGTAGAAAACACTGGACTGGAAGAAAGCAGACCTCAGTTCAAGTCTCAACCTTTCCACTTACTAATTGTGTGAACGTGGGCTTGGCCAGCTACTTTTTCTCCCTAGACTCAAGCTTCCTTGTCTATAAAAAATGAGGGGGAGGGGGTTGGAGTAGATGACCTCTATGGTCCTTTCCAACTTTAATCAGACATGGGTTTGAGGCCTGGGCTCCAACACTTATTAGCTTTGTAACTTTGAGTATATCTCTGAACCTCAGTTTCTTTATCTGCAAAACAGCAATAATATTTGGCTAAATAGGAGATTATCATCATTATTATACAGTGACTTACATGACATCGCAATCTGAAGGGACAAGTATCAGCTGAAAAACTCATGAACTATGTTTTCGCCCATTCATTTCTCTGCTCTTTGCTATTTTGGAAGTTGGGTAACTGGAGGAAATGCCCTTGGCTAGTGGGAAATAGACATGTCATCTACCCTGAAATACTGGTGGAGTGGTACTAAATCACTGGTGACAATAGTATAGTACTGCTTTCTATCTGAGCTGACAAAATTATGCAGTCAGATTGTGAGGCATGAATGTTGGAATGCTAAGCAAAGGAAAGAAAGTCATTAGGTTGGGGTAGGAGTGAAGAAAGGAAAAAGGAAATCTGTGCTGTCTGTTTTGAAGTAAATATAGAATTGTCCTTCCCCAAATGAACAGACTTCTTATTGTTATTACTATTGTTATTATTATTATTATTACCACTGCAGGTACTACAGTTTGAAGCTATAGTACACCTAGGATTTTTATTTCCTACTCCATATTTGCATTAAGGTGTTTTCTTTGTTTCCAAGGCACTTATGAAACACTTTAAAATGATATCATGGACTGGTCATATATGTTATAAACTCCACACACATAGTAATTTAATTTTCTATAATGTTGAACTGCAAGCCTGGTGTGGTATTAAAGTATTTTTGGGGGGTACTTTAGGCTCACTATAATATAATAAGATGTCTTTTAGGCAACTGACACTGTTCTTGGGAAACAGCAGCTACAGAAATTAGCTATGAGTAGCAAGGGAGGGAAGAAGAATAGACTGAGCCAAAAAGGAATTTTTAAAAAAAAATTTATTTATTTTTGGTTTTCACTTCCACAAGATTTTGAGTTCCAGATTTTCTCTCCATCTCATCCCTCCCCCAACCCCAAGACAGTGTGCATTCTGAATACCCTTTCCCCTAATCTGCCCTCCCTTCTATCTCTCCCGCCCTTCTCTTATCCCCTTCTTCTTCTATTTTCCTGTAGGGCAGGATAGATTTCTATACCCCACTGCCTATGTATCTTATTTCTCAGTTGCATGTGAAAACAATTTTTTAACATTTGTTTTTAAAACTTTGGGTTCCAAATTTTCTCCCTCCCTCCCTCCCCACCCACCCTCATTGAGAAGGCAAGCAACTTGATACAGGTTATACATGTGTAGTTATGCAAAACACTTCCATAGTAGTCATTCTGTGGAAAATTACTATATTTCCCTTCATCCTGTCCCGCCCCCCCCCTTAATTCTAGTCTCTCTTTTGACCCTGTCCCTCCTTAGAAGTGTTTTGCTTCTGATTACCCCCTTCCCCAATCTGCCCTCCCCTCTATCATCCCCCCACTCTCTTATTCCCTTCCCCCCTATTTTCCTATAGGGTAAAATAGCTTTCCATACCCAATTGAATGTGTATGTTATTCCCTCCTTAAGCCAAATCCGATGAGAATAAGATTCACTCATTCCCTCTCACCTTCCTCCACTTCCCTTCCACTGTAAAAGCCTTTTCTTGTCTGTTTTACGTGAGATAATTTACCCCATCCTACCTCTCCCTTTCTCCTTCTCCCAAGTATAATCCTCTCTCACCCCTTAATTTTATTCTCCAGATAGCACCCATTCATCTTCAACTCACCCTATGCCCTCTATCTATCAATCTATCTATACATATAATTTTTTTCCCCTCCAACTATCCTAATACTGACAAAGGTCTCATGAATTACAAATATCATCTTTCCATGTAGGAATGTAAACAGTTCAACCTTAATAAGTCCCTTATGATTTCTCTTTCCTGTTTACCTCTTCATGCTTCTCTCTCTCTTTTTTTTAATTTCACTTTTATTTGCATTCTTATGTCATATTTACTCAGGTGCCGTAAGCTTTTGTTTCTTCAGTTTCTTCTGGGATATCTTTTTCTTTTGAGCAGCCTCCTCTTCTGGTTTAGGAACAATTTGTTCCTTTTCAGTAAGTATCATCTCAACATGGCAAGGAGAACTCATGTATGGGTTAATTTGACCATGAGCCCTGTAAGTATGCCATCGCACTTTGAGAGCCTTGTTAACCTGGATATGCTCAATGACAAGAGAATCACATCCAAACCCTTCAGTTCTGCGTTACTCTCTGCATTTTTAAGCATATGCAGCAAGAATTCAGCACTCTTTTTGGGCCAACGACCGTAGGCTGGGCGCACCTGCTAACTCCACCATTATATTGCCTGAAGGGGAACACATTGTTACTTCAATGTGACATCTTTCAAATACTTTGTAGCTTTTCAGATATGCATGGCCTTGATAGCTTGGGCTGTTTCATGGGTGTTCTTGAAGTAGACCCGGAGATTTGAACCCCCTGACTTGCCTGATTTTGTGGGGTTCTCTGGATTAAGAGAGTATCTCACCATTTTAAATGATTACGTAGGATGAGTCAAGGGAAGAGCTTCATGCTTCTCTTGAGTCTTGTATTTGAAAGTCAAATTTTCTATTCAGCTCTGGTCTTTTTATGAAGAATGCTTGAAAGTCCTTTATTTTACTGACTATCCATTTTTTTCCCCTGAAGGATTATACTCAGTTTTGCTGGGTGGGTGATTCTTGGCTGCAATCTTATGTCCTTTGACCTCTGGAATATCATATTCTAAGCCCTGCAGTCCCTTAATGTAGAAGCTGCTAAATCCTGTGTTATCTTGATTGCGTTTCCATAATACTTGAATTATTTCTTTCTGGCTGCTTGCAATATTTTCTCCTTGACTTGGGAACTCTGAAATTTGGCTACAACATTCCTAAGAGTTTTCCTTTGGGAATCTCAGGAAGTGGTCAGTACATTCTTTCAATTTCTATTTTACCCTGCAGTTCTAGACTATCGGGGCAATTTTCCTTGATAATTTCTTGAAAGATGATGTTGAGGCTCCTGTTTTTGATCATGGCTTTCAGATACTCCAATAATTTTTAAATTCTCTCTCTTGAATCTATTTTCCAAGTCAGTTGTTTTCCCAATGAGATAGTTCACACTGTCTTCTATTTTTTCATGCTTTCGGTTTTGTTTCATAATGTCTTGATTTCTCATAAAGTCACTAGCTTCCAATTGCTCCATTCTAATTTTTAAGGAGGTATTTTCTTCAGTGAGCTTTTGGACTTCCTTTTCCATTTGGCCAATTCTGCTTTTGAAGGCATTCTTCTCCTCATTGGCTTTTTGGACCTCTTTTGCCATTTGGGTTATGCTATTTTTTAAAAAAAATTAATTTATTTTGAATTATCAACAATCACTTCCATAAGCTTTTGAGTTTTAAATTTTTCTCCCCTTCCTTCCCCACCTCCCTCCCCAAGATGGCCCACAATCTGATATCGGCTTTACATATACATTCCTATTAAACATATTTTCACATTAGTGATGTCGTAAGAAAGAATTAGAGCCAATAGGAGGAACCACCAGAAAGAGGAAACAAAACACGAGAAGAAAAAAAATAGCAAATAGTATGCTTCTATTTGCATTCAAACTCCATAATTCTTTCTTTGTGGATAGCATTTTCCATCATGAGGCCTTTGGAGATGTCTTAGATCCTTGTATTGCTGAGAAGGCTTAAGTCTATCAATATTAGTCACTGCAAAATGTGGCTGTTACTGTGTACAATGTTCTCCTGGTTCTGCTCACTTCACTCAGCATCAGACCATACAAGTCTTTCCAGGTTTTTCTGAAGTCAGCCTGTTCTTCATTTCTTATAGTACAATAGTATTCCATTACATTCATATATCACAACTTGTTCAGCCATTCTCCAACTGATGGGCATCCTTTCAATTTCCAATTCTTTGCCACTAGAAAAAGAGCTGCTATAAATATTTTTCTACACGTGGGTCCTTTTTCCATTTGTATGATCTCTTTTGGATATAGCCCTAGAAGTGCTATTGCTGGGTCAAAGGATATGCACATTTTTGTAGCCCTTCGGGCATAGTTCCAAATTGCTCTCCAAAATGGGTGGATCATTTTACAACTCCACCAACAATGCATTAGTGTTCCAATTTTTCCGAATCTTTTCCAACATCAATCATTTTCTTGTTTTGTCAAGTTGGCCAATCTGATAGGTGTGATGTGGTACCTCAGAGTTCTTCTGATTTGCATTTCTCTAATCAATAATGATTTAGAGCATTTTTTCATATGACTATAGATGGCTTTAATTTCGTCATCTGAACACTGACTGTTCATATCCTTTGACCATTTATCAACTGGGGAATGACTTGTATTCTTATAAATTTGTCTGGTATATTTTAGAAATGAGGTCCTTATCAGAGAGACTGGTTGTAAAAATTCTTTCCCAATTTTCTACTTTCCTTCTAATCTTGGTTGGATTGGCTTTGTTTGTCCAAAAACTTTTCAATTTAATGTAATCACAATTATCTATGTTGCTTTACATAATGTTCTCTGTCTCCCGTTTGGTCATGAATTCTTCTGCTCTCCATAAATCTGATAGCTAAACTATTCCTTGCTCTCTCAGTTTGCTTATAGTATCAGCCTTTATATCTAAATCATGAATCCATTTTGATTTTATTTTGGTATATAGTATGAGATTTTGATGGGTTAGGCTATTTTTAAGGTGTTAGTTTCTTCAGTATTTTTTTGGGTCTCCTTTAGCAAGCTGTTGAGTTATTTTTCATGATTTTCTTGCATCACTCTCATTTCTCTCCCCAGTTTTTCCTCTACTTCTCTTACTTGCTTCTCAAAATCCTTTTTGAGCTCTTCCACGGCCTGGGACTGATTCATATTTTTCTTGGAGGCTTTGGATGTAGGAGCTTTGACTTTGTTGTCTTCTTCTGGTTGTATGTTCTGATTTTCTTTGTCACCAAAGAAAGATTCTATGATCTGACTTTTTTTGTACAGTTTGATCATGATCCCAGCCAATTTCTTGAATTTTAAACTCTTTGTTAAGGTAGGGGGATCTGCTTCTAGTGTGGAGAATGTACTATCCCAAGCTTAGGGGGTTTTGTGCAGCTGTTTTCAGAGAGACTCCTAGGGACCTGTAAGTTTTCAGTTCTTCCAAGGTGGTATGATCAAGGGCGAGGTGTTTACTCCTTTCCTGGCCTGTGCTCTGGTCTATGAGCACTCTTTTCTGCCTTGGAACTGTGAGGAGGATTTTCTCTGCACCACCACTACAATCTCCACACCAGCACTCCTCCTCGCCCCAGGTGATCCAGGATCACCACTCAGAACTGTGACCCAGATCCAATCACAAGCAAAGCAAGAGAATCCTGCCTTAGTACCAGCAAAGAGATCTCTGCAATCCCCCTCTGATCAGTCACTTGATTCCCTTCAGTCTGTGGGCTGGAAGCTCCCAAAGCAGCTGCCACCCCATGGTTGCACGGGAACTGGGGCTAGGAACGAGTTTCTCTCTCACCATAGTCACAAACTTTTCTACTGACCTTCTAAGTTGTCTTTGGCATTTGTGGGTTGAGAAAGTTTGGAAACCACCACAGCTGCCCATGATTCAGTCCTCTGAGGCCTGCTCCAGGTTCGCTGAAGCCTAATCTTTGCCTGCTCGCGCACCCATGCTGAACTGCATTTCTCTCCCAGTCCAGCGCAATAGACCTTTCTAATCAACCATCCAGGTTGTCTTAGTCTGGAAATTTGTTTCACTCTGTCTTTTTGTGGGTTCTGCTGCTCTAGAATTTGTTTAGAGCCATTTTTTAAAGGTATTTGGAGGGGTTTGGGGGACAGCTCAAGCAAGTCACTACTTTTATTCCTCCATCCCCCAAAAAGGAATGTTAAGAACATCTACCAAATCTGTCTCAAAGCCTGATAAGTAGCAGCAAACAGTAGGAACATAAAATAAGGAGAAACATAGGGAGACCATGCTGTACTGAACAGAACAGAAAAGACAGAGATGCTCTAGGGGTAAGAGACAATAAGAAATATTAACAACTCATAAATATACACACACAAGTAATCAGGAGAATGTAATAGCAACTAGCAAGACTTAACAATGATAGCCAATGATACCTACATTATATACTTAAGCCCAATTATAATAAAATACAGGTATGGATTATGAAAAGGTTTAACTGAAGAAGGCCAACTTTATTCCAAAGTCCAATTCTTACTTTGTGGGAAAAACATGGGTAATGCAACCTAGATAATAAATTGTACCTTCTCTGTATACTCTACATCCCATTCACTCATCTAGCTTCAGGAGACTCACAGTGGCATGGACCTCTATGAAATCTAAGGGGACTTACTTGGCCTAGGCCCTAGATGAATGAATGCAGAATAGACACTTAGATTGAATGTCACTTCAGACTTAAGTACTATATCAATTTTCCTCTAAAAACAAGATTTTACTTTTGACTTATTTTTGCTGAAAGTATTGTGCACACTGAGTTTTTAATATGACTCTAATCCATGATGAAAATGTAAAGCATTTCTTAAGTTCTTTAAAAACAGATAAAATAAGTTACCCCAAACGTATAACTGCAAACAAAATCCAAAGGCTGTAACCATTATTACTTCAAACTGTGGTAATGAAGGTATGTTATGCAAACTAAACTCGAATGTCTTACTGGAGAAGGATCCTACAGAAAAAGGTGTCATCAGTAAAGAAATGGCAATACAGTATGGCAACAATGTACCACTGGAATTGTCATTCTGTCCATTTAAAAAGAGCCAAGGCATCTTACATGTCATTCCAAGTCTATAGAGCAAGTCAGAGCCCAATTGGAATTTTGTTTTGTTTTCTGCTCATCATGCAACCAAATTCTTATAACACTATCACTAACCTATTAACAACCAAACACTGGCAATAAAGAACCAAATATTCTTTTTAAAAAGCTTTTTTATCCTCAACTTAACCCAAAAAATTAACATTTCCATAGACAAAGTAGAACTTTAAGAAGATTCTATCTCTTAGCAAATAACCTTAAGAACATTTTATAACAAGCTGAAATTTATCTACTTACTTGGTGATTTTATCCGTAGTCTTGCATTTTGTCCAGGCCATTCCTGAGGTTTTATTGGAACTTGGGATGCTGGAGTAAAAACATCAAGATTTCTATGCACAGATTTTTAGAAACAATTATGTCCATTAAGACTACAGTGTTATGAGGTTAGTGACTCAGAAAGGCCAAAACAAGACAACTACTGGCAGTAAGCTCAGAAATAAAGGTAAAAGGCAAGAGTAGGGGGAGGGCCAGGGTCAATGATATGTGAGGCAGGATACCAAGATAAGGTTAGGTAAAACCTCTTAATCCCCATCTGACGTGCTCCTTACATAACCCATGTATTTACTCTACTCATCCTTAAATGTCATGGCACTAGTTAGGCAGAAAATACATATCTAATCAGGGAGGGACCACATTTTTAACTGAGAATGAATGATACAAATAAAATTCTATTTTCATCTTCCAGTGTTAATTTTTAACAAATGGGATGCATTTAATGACTTGTAGATAAATTGCCCATGAATTATGGACCCTTCCCATTTTTCCATCCTGCTGTCCCACTTTGAAACAAAAAAAACCTCCAAGATTAGTCTGGATGACACACGATAATACATCCATACTACAAAAGTAATTGCCACATACAGTGCATCTCTGATGTACCTATGATTTAAGAGGAAAAAGAAGTCAAATAATTTGAGGTCCTATTTGTGATACTTTTTGTGGAAAGAAAGCAAGATTATTCCCTTTGCCAGCAGAAAAAAAAGCAAACACATTCATGTACTTACTTAGCAATGGTGACGGCTTATTGGGAAGTTTTACTTCTTGGCCTGCAACAGAAAGCAGAGGTAGAAAAAATACAATACTTAAAGGCTAAAAACAAAAGTGTTCTTACAGACCAGAATTTGGCATTTGTTGTTTTATTTTTTCATTTTAAAGACCAGAAAATAACAAAATAATGGTCCCAAGATTTTTACTGGCCCAAGGTGACCAGACAGCTGCCTCTAGGTCTTTCTAATTCCAAGAACTAGCCCTCTCTCCCTGTCTTAGGAGGCCAGGACTCAGGCTTCTTCAATACTCCACCTGTCCAATATTAATAACATTTTCATCATATGATTGGTACCTTAGCATAAACATGAGGAAACTATGTCCAGGGTCACACAACGCTTTGTCAATTAGACACCCTGGATGTTACCAATAAGCAACTTTGTAGCCATTGCCAGATAAGTCACAAGGTAAGAGTTATGTTACTCTACCATGTGAAGCTTCTAGGTGATAGTTATGAACCATAAAATTTGTATGACCAAGTATGAAAATCTTGATGTTACCAAGGCATGATTTATTGTAACAAGTTTCCCTGAAAAGTACTTACATGGGTAACATTTGGACATTTGGTATAAAGACAGACTGAAATCTAAAATCCAAGATCTTAGAAGCAAAAGGCACATAAAGATAATGGAGGATTTAGAAAAGCAGTTTTTTCAAATGTTCTTATTCCATTCTGAGCATTATCTCTATCTTGCTATGTCTGAGCTAAAATTCAGGCACTAGGTGAATGAAAGAACAAAACCAAAATCTGTAAAGAAGGTTATAAAAGAAACAATTCAACCCTCAAGGTTTCTTGAATTAGATTACAATAAAGAAGGGAATTGGGGAATAAACTTCCAACATGTGTGGAATTTTACATACAGAGTACTTTGGGGGTTGCCTAATAATTACACCAAATTTTTTTGTGCATCCTACCCAAGAAAGTAGAGCAAAGAAGTTATTCTTTTCCTAACCAAAGTACATAAGGTTCAAACTGTTTTATGGTCAATGTAATCAAAAGCAATGAATAAAATCACAAGGCCACTATCAACATGAATCAATGCCTATGAAGGTCACAGAAAGTGATATATTTTTTTTAAATTTCAAATTCAAGCCTGGGAATAGATATAGGGAATTCAAGAAATTCAGACACTTTAAGATGCACACTATTCCCTCTCACCTCATTTCTCACTGATTTATTTTTACTGTTTGCTATACTTAAAACTGCAATAGATGACCTGGAAAAAACAAGAACAGCACCTGAACCTACCTGTAAACAGAAAGGTAAGAAGGAGGAAAGAAGGAAACATGCCTAAAAAACATACTCTTGCATGACTGCCAATGAAATTCTGCACACTGACTAGGAGATCTAAAAAATACAGGCAGACATACTGAAATCAAGACATATTTCATGTTTTAAAAGCACAGTTCCACAGTTAAAAAACAAACAAACCATACCACAAGGCAATGATTGAATCTATCATGGTACCTGAAGGTATTTGCTAGAACTGTGTAACACACTGTTTATGGAGCTGTGAGTTGGTCCTACCATTCTGATAAACAATAATTTGGAATTATACTATAAAAGTCACTGAACTGTATCTATATTATGTCTGACCCAGTGATACTGGCATTAGGCATAATTGTGACTACAAAGGTCAAAGATGGCAGGAAAGATCTCATATATTAAAAAAATGTTTAAAGTAGCTGAGAACAAAAGGGGATGCTCATTCTCTGGGAGCGGGCTGAACAAACTCATATACGAACTTGATGGAAAATTATTTCATCATAAGAAATAGCCTAGATGAAGAATTCAGAGAAGCATGGGAAGACAAGTCTGAATGGATGCAGATCAAAGTAAGCAGAGTAATGAGGACAATTTACACAATGAACACATTAATGTCAAGGAAAACAATACTGAAAGTCCTCAGAATGCTGACTGATGCAGTGAACAGGAATGATTTTTGATGACTGATGGGAAAAGCATACTTTTATCTCTTGTCAGAGAGGTGAAAAGCTATGGATGAAGAAGGCATACATTTTCAGGCATGGCTGACATGCTGACTTGTTTCTCTTCACTGTACTTATTTGTTACCAAGATGGGTGTGATGGTGGGTAGGAGAAGTCACAGGAAGTCCCAGTTATATAAAAAAAAGTAATAGATGGTTTTGGCCTTTTCCCTAGTATTACTCTTTGGAGATAATTGTAATAAGACACAGAATATGGCATAGAGGAGGGGTGATTAAAAATCTTTTAGTTGTGAAAAATTCTAATAATTCAAAATGACAAGGCTACAGCAGAACATGAGAACATTAGAGGAGGAAGGGATCTGAGAGGTTCTCTAATTTAACTCACTCATTTCATAAATGAGAAAATTGAGGCTCAGAGAAAGGATATGACTTCTCCAGGTAATATAAGGAGTTAATGGTAGAGCTGAGAGTGGAACCCAGGATCCAGATCTGTGTTGTTTTTCTTTTAAGTATATACAAGTAAACAAAGAAAGATTTAGATTTAGAAATAACATAAATGTATAGCCTATATCGGATTGTGAGCCGTCTTGGGGAGGGTGGTGGGGAGGAAGGGGAAGAAAAATTTTGAACTCAAAAGCATATGGAAGTGATTGTTGATAAATCAAAATAAATTAATAAAATAAAAAAAATAAATAACATAAAGTTAGCAAACTACTGAAAGTTTAATACATCACACAGAATAATGACTCCTGGAGGAAAAAAAATTCATGTTGATGAAGAAGTGGATCAGGAAGTAAGGCTACAGTTGTCTTTGTCTTTTATGTTCAACTACCTAAAATGGAGGTGCTATTTGTGGAACTGTTTTATTAATCCTTGAGATTCAGTTACTATATACTTCAAATAACTCTTAACTGGTATCATATTCTGTGAGACCTCAACTGATTTAGGTTGTTGATCATTTAAACACAGTAAGATTTTTGGATCCTTGAGCTTCAGAGAAATGACAAATTCCTTGAGCCTGTGGTCAAAGAAAGTTATGGTTTTAATCTGAGTTTTCCCATTTTACGGTAAGATTCTGAACATTCACAAAGTAATAAATAAAAAATAAGTAAATAAATAAAAAAAGTATTACTTTCCTACATGCTTGAGGACTTTCATGTTTGTGATATATTATGCTGCAATATAGTCTATTTTGGTTTAAAACTAATTTACTTAATTTTACTTGTTAATTGCCACTATATGTAATCTTCCTTTAGAGTCTGTACTATATTAGTGTCTGAATTAACTTCAAAATGATAAAACTAAAATTTCCTTTACACATAAGAAATTTTTAAGGTAATAAATTCACATTTCTATAGTACTTATAGATTTACAAAGTGCTTTAACTATAGTCTAAGTCAGAGAGATGGCAGGCAAATACTAAGTCATCTGTGGATCATTAAAAAATTCCAAAACCCGTTCCATTAGATTCAAGAAAAAGTTCTGAACAGCTCAGTGCTGCTGAGTAATGAGAGCTGGCATTTATAGAAGGCATTAAGATTTGCAAAGCACTATACACACATTATCTCATTTAGTCCTCACAATTCTGTGAAGGTAGGTAGTATTACTGTTCCCATTTCACAGACCAAGAAAGCTGAGGCAGAAAGGGTTAAGTGACTTGCTCAGTGTCACATAGCTAATGTCTCAGGCTGAGTCTGAACTTGGGCCTTCCTGACTTTAACTCTAGCGCTACATCATATAAGTTGCCCAATTATTATATATTGCTAGAAGATGAAGCAGGTTAGTCACCTTCAAGGTGGCACCATTAAACATACCTAGATAATGCAGCAATATCTCTCCTCTGTCAATCAACATGCTCCATTTCTCTTCTATAGAAATATTCTTCCTACCTATCTTAGTGTAAAAGATTCACTTCAAATCAGTGGCATTTTTCAAGCCCTTAGACAATGTCCTAGGAGTTGGGAATACAAAGACACAGGGTACCTTCTCAAGGAGCTTAGCTGCTACTGCAAAAAGAGGAGGAAGGGACAACATTAAGGCAGATAAACAGTCAGCCACATCACTGGGGACAATCACTAGCAGAGGAACAAAGCCTTGTCCAGGCTATGGAAAGCCTTGAGAAGTCTCAGGGAGTTACAGACTCCCCTAGATAAGCAATGGCATAAAACTACTAATGGCCGGTCACCTCCTTCAAGCTCCCAGAGCTTCGTTCTCTGGCTTCACCCTCTAAAAAAATCTGGTTTGCTATTAAGAGGGATGACAGAAACACAGACCACTGACTCAAACTGTCACTCACTAGTAACAGCTATAAGACAAAACTATGAGCTTTTTATTTGAATGCAGAAGGGACTGCAGTGCTTTCACAGGGATTGTGGGAGAAAAGTCTGAGAATCAACACTGTGGAGGGACTAAAGTCTTAGACTACTGGTTCTTTTTAGAGATTCAAAATTTTTTGACTTGTGTTTGAGCATCTTGTTAATATCACTGGTACTTTTCTCTCTTTGGATAAATTCTCCCTGGATCAGGAGCCTGAACAACTGAAAAGACCATTATGGTATGGTGCAAAGAGCACCCAGCTTTGGAATCAAAGCCTGGGTTCAAATCCCTCCTTTTGACACTTACCCCAAGTGACCTTGGACAGATCATTTCCCTTCTCTTTGGCCTCAGTTTCCTCATATGTAAGATGAAGGAGTTGGACTTGATGGTCTGCAAGGTACCTGCCAACTCTAGACTCATGAACCACAGAATAACAATCGCTGATGTGAGGCTGAATTTAAACCAGAACTTAGGGATAAAATTTTGGCTAAAACCATTATCAATTTCTTAAAGCCACAAAACTCTTTAGAAACTGGAGTACCAATATCAACATAATTTCTCTAACTTTTTGAAAATCAGCATAATGGCAAAATAATTTTTTACTCACACACTTAAGTTAGATATTTTTCCCAATAATGAGAGGCAATATGATAGAGGGGAGAGAACACTTGTAGTCGAAGGACTGGGTTCAAACCCTGGTCCTACCTCCTTACTACCTGTGGGACCTCACTGGGTAACTTACCATCTCTCTGCACCTCTGTTCCTTCATGGGTAAAATGAGGGGAGTAGGGAAGGTCCCTCTCAGCTCTATGATCCTGTGATGGTTAACTTGCTCAAACATTATGATTCATCTCATCAGGTTACTCCAAAATATAAATGGACCAAAAACTTTTAACAAATGTTCATTTAACATGTAAAATTCATGCCAAAGCGGTTTTCGTAATTTGCCAAATATCTATATGCTTTCTATAAAAAGGTCAACAAGATAATCAGACACCGTCATTTACCTCTTGACTTAGTAGAATCCTCATCGCTATGGCTGGGAGTATTCATGTCACTGTCGGAGATGTTGTGGTGTTCTGCCTCCTCCTCTTCAGTTTCCCCTGGGATTGCATAATAATTTGTTTAAAGAATTGTTGGTAGAAAGAGCTTACAGTCCAATGTTCAAAAGCCTCAATTTGATTATGTTTCTAGGAAACTGAGGCATTTATCAATATAGATAAAGCCCATTTTTTCATCACGCTATATACAGAAATGCTTTTTCATTTATTATGCTTATTTTTTGTCGTTGTTGCAGTGTGTATGTCAACTAATTTTTTTTCACCAAAAGGATCTTGGTTTTTTAAACACGACTAGAGATTAGTCATACTTTGTAATTAACAGGAACACACATGAGACGTGGTTTACAAATGCTGTCTGTGCCCTTGCCATCTACTTTGAATGGGCTAACCACACACGGCCAGCCACATCCATTCTGTGGTGCTGGAGGCGTCTATTACCTGAACAAACATTTATAGACAAATCTAAAAGATTAACTTCACAAAGCTCACCATGGAAACCACAGAGAGAAGGAAAAGACACTAGGTATTAGAAATGTGAGCCTACAGTGTAATACATAACTGAGATTCTGACAAGACCAGTAGGCATGCCAGTTATGGGTCGATCAATCCAGATTACAGTTGAAAATGAGGACTCGAAAAGACTAAATATAACTTGTGACCTATTCAAAAACAGACTGATATGAAACCTTGGAATATATGATTTAAAAAAATTATAGTAATCAAATTCAGGATATACCAGGAGTTTCTGGTTTCCCAGAACTAATTCATTTTGAGAAAGATTCTACATATATAACAGAGTGGTAACTATCAATTCCTAAAAACTATTTTTATTTATCTGCTCATTTGCACCTTGTAAAAGTATCCGGAAAAAGAAATGCATGCAAGCCCAAGCAGACACCCACTCACCATCCCTTTTCTATGAATTTCGACCCCAAAGGACATTTTGTTTTCTGTCTTAGCCCAGTCTCTGGGTGTAATGTTACTTATAACCAGTATTAAATTGCTTGTGAGATAACAGATGCATGAAGACAGTACCTTCTTCAGAGAAATCAACCTTCTGCATTCTAGTGACTCCTAGGGGAAGAAAGGAAAGTCACATCTGAGTTGAATGTAGTTTCAAAAGTTTCAGTGGCAAAAAATAAAAGTTGCAATTATACCTAGATTAGTAATAATTATGCAAAGTAAAAATGAAGATGACTCTAATCACATTTTCAGTTGGATAAACTATTAATGTACTCCAGAGTTATTTCAAGACTCAACCAGAAATCTTTGCTGATGGCAGCTAGATGGCACAGTAGATAGAGCTCTGGTCTTGCAGTCAGGTAGACCTGAGTTCAAATCCACCCTTAGACATTTGACACTTACTACTGTGTGACCCTGGGCAAGTCACTTAACTCCGAATGTCAAGAAAGAAAGAAAAAAAGAAAGAGAAAGAAAGAAAGAAATCTTTGCTAGGTGACACAATGGATAGAGTGCTGGGTACCTAGAGTCAGAAAACCTGAGTTTAAATTTAGTGTGACCCTGGAAAAATCACTTGAATACTGCTGACCTCAGTTTCCTCATCTGTAAAATGAGGATAATTATAGCACCTGCCTCCCAGAGGTGGTTGCGAGGATCAAATTAGATAATATTTGTAAAGTGCTTGCAAGACTGGCTGGCACATAGTAGGCTTTATGTAAATGCTGGCTTTTATTATTATTAGATGTGTACTTGGCTGATTTAGAAACTGCCCTGGAGGATGCTTATGATGGTACTAACAAATTTTTGCTCCTATGCGTAACAGTGACAGCAATTCCCACTGATACGTTAAATTTCTGATTACAAATAAGAAACAGAAGTTCTAAAGGGAAAAATAATTAGCATAAGGATTAGGAATGAGGACATGCGCTGTTGTATTTTTTAGGGGCTGCTAGGTAGCACAGTAGATAAGACTGTCAATCCTGGAGTCATGAGGACCTGAGTTCAAATGTGGCCTCAGACACTATCTGTGTGACCCTGGTTAAGTGTCTTAATTCTGTTTGCCTCAGTTTTCTCATCTGTAAAATGAGCTGGAGAAGGAAATGGCAAACTGAGTCAGTGTCTTTGCCAAGAAAACCCCAAATGGGATCAATGAAGAGTTGGACACAACTGACTGATCTACTAAACAACAACTATAGCATAAGCAAGTTAGATTTAAAAAAAAAAAAACTAGACGAGGGGCCAAAAGAACTGATTTTTCTGATGAAACTGTCACCGTAATCAACTAATGCATCACAAAGGAAGAGAGAAGACAAGTTTCTTGTAGTGTAAGCACAAGTTTATGCCTAGTGCTTCTCTCTGGACTGTTGATAGAACAACTTATTTGACCAAGAATAATGAATTTACCTAATGTGCAAAAAATCCAGCAATTATAAATGAAGCATTTTATTTTAGTTGCAAGAAAAGCTTTTTTACACAATGCATTTTGTTTTTACATCACATTCATTACTGAATATATTCCTTCCCCTCTCCTGTATGTTTAATGAGCTTTTTCTTGTAGTAAAGATTAATGATACTAGAAAATTAATCAAGAGTAAAGATGATCATTGACAGAATTTTTTGAAATCCCCCAAAAGCAAATATTTTGCCAGCCTATTTCTATTTCATTGCATATGCCTGAAAGTAACAAAATCATAGTATTTTTAAAAGATACAATAATTCAGACTTTTCCTTAGTTTAGACACTCAATCAAAAAGTGTTTATTTAAGCACCTACTACATTCTAGGTGCTGGGAATACAAATACAAAAATACAAAAACAATCCCTACTCTCAAAGAGATTACATCCTAACATAGCTGTTTAACTAGGTATTCTCAGAGTATTCAACTGAGAACAGGATACTAGGTAGTGAATGAGGTTATCTGGCAATGTATTATTTAACTGGTCTTATCTAGTTTTTAGATAAACCATTTAAAATTTAATAGAGTTAGAAATCCTATGTTAGTAAATAAAAATTCCAAGTCAAATCTGATATAGACTCTCATGCCGAAAATGAATTCCTATAATGGTTATGGTTAAATTAAAAATGCTATCTTATTACAAAGAATGAATTAATTTCTCATATTTCATAGCCCCTAAAGGTCTTCAAGAAGTATTTCTGGAATTGGTATAAGAAAGCTCACTTTATAATTTTAGGATCATGATACAGCAATTCCTGGATACAGTTTGGTCATTTGCTATAAAGCCATATCACAAATAGTGGTGGGAAAGATAATTTTGCCTGTATTTTAAAGACTCTTACGCAACAGGAGGCAGTGGCTAGAAACAAGAAAAGCACCATCCAACAGGCTAAGGTTGGGCTCAGAGCTCAGATTTAATGCAGGTTTCAAATGCAATCTCTGATTTAATGAAATTTACAAAAACTATTCACAAATACAAATATTTAAAAGTAAAACTGACCATGAATTGGCAACTTCTCAGTCTAATTAAGTTTCCATTTCACTTCCCTAACAGCTATTTCGGCTTTCTATATTTCAGCTGTGCTAGGTACTGGCGCTAAGAGATTTTTTAAATCACACAGGTGCTTGCACAGGGGAGATTACAATCTGTTGGGTGTGGCGGGGGAAGTAAGATACACAGCTGAACAGGTCAGGATGTGATGTGGGCAAAGGCAGACTCACAAAAAAGTGCTCTAGGAAAACTCGAAGAGGGAGAGAGAATTTTCAGCTGGGGGTTAATATCAGCAGAGATGTCACAGAGAAGATGACATCCAGATAAGCCTTAAAGGAAGATGGGGATCCTGAAAAATAGAGTTAACATAGTCATTCAAAGCCCTCAGGGTGGCCTAAACAAATGCAAGAAGACAAAGGAAAGCAGGAGTCCAGCACCACTCAGTCCAGTCTGGCTAGATGTGGCCAAGTATATGAAGCGAAGTAACACAAAACACAGTTAGGAAGGTTGGTTAAAAAGGAGAGTTAAAAGATACATTCAGGGCTAGTCGTGCCTTAAAGAAAAAAGTGGGTATTTGTGTTTGGTGGGGGGCGGGCCGTGGGGACAGAAGGGGTACAACATTTGTGGAAATCATTTCCACTGAAGCTTAATGTTCCTATCATATATTCCTGGTTGCACTGAAACTGGGGTACAATTAATCAGGAGGCACCACTACAGAACAATTTTACTTTAGTGTTTTAAACAGTGACTTATATTTGTTTTAGTTGTAAAGAATAGTTTAAAAAAACTATTTGTAAATGCTCATCTGCAAAATAAGGGCACTGGAGTAGATGATCCCTGAGGCCCTTTCTCAAGGGCCACCTTCAGTGCTCAGTAGCCACAAGAGGGCAGTTTTGGAAGAAAGTGACACTTTTGTTCAACTCTAAGCTGAGCTTCACACCAAAAAACAGTTTCTTAAAGAAAACCCCAACTCTTTCCTTTTGTGACTCATTGCGAAATTAAGCTGTTCCATGATAAGAATTGAAACTAATGTTCCTAGCAGCTTCCCCAATGAAAGCAGCTTCACCTCAATGCAAGTCAGCCTGGCAGGATACAAAGAATCACAGGCTTAAAATTGGGAAGGGATCAAAGAAGCCAGCTAGTCCAAAAACTCCTGCTTAAATCATGAATCTTTTCTTCCAAATCACAAACAAGTAGTTATCTAACCTCCTTCTGAACCTAAGAGAAAACTCAATTACTTTCTGAGACAATATTATAAAAAAGTCAAATTGGATGAACTTCTGGGAGATTTTTAGGTGGAAGAAACCCTAGCTTCTACCCCAGTCCAAGTCCTCTTCTGCAGGGTACTTAGCCGACAAAGCCTGGCCTTTCTTCCAAATATCTGACAACTATCTTGTGGGGCTCTGTGATGTTCTGTGGCATTGCAGGACCTGGATTGTCATGTGAGCTCTATCATGTATGGCCTACCTGACCTCAAACAGGTGACTTTGCCTCTTCTCTGTAAAGCAAGAAGGTTGGGCTAGATGCCTTTTTTTAAAGTCTAAACCCAAAACCTAAGATTCCCTGTCCCTGCCTCCCACTGCCAGGTCTTCTCTTCTTCAGATTAAACATATCCCAAGTTCCTTAAACTACTCCAAATGGCAGCTTCTAGTCCCTTTGTCATCCTGCTTGCTCTCTTCTCTGAATGTGTCTGTTTGTCAAAAGCCCTGCTAAGATGTGTTCCAGAACTGGCCACTGTACTCCAAATGGGGCCTGACTTGGAGGCCACATCAGGACTGTCACCTCCCTCACTCTGGACTTAAGCTTCTTTTAATGTGGCATTAAATTACATGGACGTTTTTGCGGGATGCAGCCTGCATCAGTAGATGCCTATTGAGCTGCAGATTCAAGAATTCCTAGGTCTTTTTCATATTAGCTGCTTCCTAGCCAGGTCATTTACCCCTCCTTCTCCTCAATACTGTGAATTTGAAAAAGGGTAAAATGAATGAAACCTTTTTGTGTGAACTCATGAGTTTAAACAAAAGTTTAACGGACAAACTTGTTATCTCATACTTGCCTATTTTGTAAAGCTGAAATCAAAACTTACAAGTCAGGATGCTGTTGTAATAAAGAATATCTTATTCATGGTACAGTAAGCCCTGAAACCTCATTTATATTCATATAGCCACAAATCAGAACTTCCACAAAGAACAAATTAAAAGCAGAGTCACCAACCTGTTTCCTTCATCTTAGTATTTCCATTTGTCCCAAATGAGGAGTAATCTGCAACAAAGAGCAAAAAATTATTAGAGCCCAGAAGAAACAAAGCCACACATAAAGAAGCAAGAAGCAATGTCCTTCTAAAAAAAAAATGGTAGAATATGCAATTTAAAAAGAAAAAAGGAAGGAGGACAAGGAGGCAGAAACCCTCTGAAAGGAAAGTAAGGTGTCTTTTCAATTCATCTGATATCAGTACAGTCACAGCATGACCATATCTTTTAGTACCAGTCAATATACTGACATTAAGTAGAGATATATGCTTATAAGGAATATTTTAGGTTTTTTTCCCTTCCAGATAGGAAAGCAACTCATAGCCAATACAATTATTTAAAAAGTTTTAGTTATAAAATGCATGTAGCAAAGGCATATATTTGATTACTCTGCATAAGATAATTTTAGGGTTCTAAGACAAAATCTTCAACCTTTTGTTTTTCATTACCCAGATAACTAATAGAGATGAAAATCCTTTTCTTAGTCTTAAAATCACCATAGTAATAAATGGAACTGTAGAAACATATAGAAAATAAGCTCTTACCAGATCCTGAACTTTTTATAGGTGGTCTACGAAGGTCAGCTAGAATTGCAGAACTCTCATTAGCAACTAGCATAGAAAAAAAATACATTTAAGTGATTAGAAATAGTAAATATACCACACATATATGCTCTCCTCACTTCTAACCAACTCTAAATTTGCCACATGGCAAAGAATAATTTAATGTCAAAAGATCTGTGATTTAATACTGTGTTTAAACCTGAGGTAGGTCACTTCATAATCTGCTCCCTCCCCCTAGCCCCCAATCAAACTGCCCTTTGCTAGGCTCACCCTTAGACAACAGGCAGAGTCTTTGCTGTCCTGTGCTTAAAAGTCTTTCCAAAGCTTGCCAATATTTGTACTTTGTGGACATTTAACATCTCTATACCATGATGGAAAAGGGACAATAGTGAAGGAACAACACTACACTGACAAAAGGGAACACTGAATATAAGTCCTTTATTTTCCTCAACTCAAAAAATTTTTTAAAATCCTAAAATATATAACTCAATACGAAATTTATCCCATATGTTTGTCATTATCTGCTTTACGGATTATCTATGGAAACTTTAAATTCAAGTTTGTTTTCCAAGTGCCTAGCACATTCTTATTCTACTTGATTAGCCTGAACACACTCAGGAAATGCAAATTAATTTTAATTATTAAAATTTTAATATTAAGTTAGGGGAAACAGCATTACAAAGGTCATTTGTTCAAAACAAAACAAAAATGGCTCCTCCCCCCAATTTAAAGTATTCTCAAACCGAATATAACACGTCTCTTAGTTTAGCTAATGCTTTACACTAATCATTAGCATTTAAGAAACTATCAAACACCTTTTTTCTATATGAATTTTTGCCAGGTACTATCCTTAAAGTGCTATTCCAGCATTTCAATGAGTCAAGTGGGTGGTACAATAGTTAGATCACTGGACCTGGAGTCAGGAAGACCACGGTTCAAATCCAGCTTCAGACACTTACTAGCTATATGATCCTGGGCAAGTCACTAGACTTTTGTCTACCTCAGTTTCCTCAAAACTGTAAAATGGGAATAATAATAGCACCTATTCCCCCAGGGTTGTTTTAAGGATCAAATCAGAGATTGTTTGTAAAGTGCTTAGCACAGTGCCTGGCACACAGCTGGAGCTTAATAAATGCTTGTGTTTCCTTCCTTCCTTCATTAGGGCAAAGTGCTTGATTTGGGGTTCTTATGGCCAGTGGAATGCAAGACCTGCTAAGTACTATCAATCTGCAAAGGCTTTTCATATAGACCAATGATGATCTGAAGACTAATTCACATCAGTTTGGTGAGATTCATCACAAAGCTGGCTTCACTTCAGGGTGATGAATTTTTTGGCTGCAGCAACTGTTGTAAGACCTTCTAAGAATCGGTTCTGCACTGACTGCATCACTTCCCTAGCTCTACAGCACAGATAACAGAGTTGACTATATATAATTTAAAAATATATATCCTTCATATTAATACTTTTTATTAAACTAAAATGCTCAACTAAGCAACATTAATTAATGACATATTATGTGCCTTATTCCGTGCTAGATGCTGGAGATACAGAGGAGAAATGGCATCAGTCCTGAATAGGGGATCTGACATAACCATAGTAAATAAAAGGTAGAATATGATAGGAAAAAAGGAGGGAGCCAGAAAAACACAGTTCAGTACAGAACACTTTCAGCTCCATAACAACATGACTTCAACCTACCTTTGTGAGGCTTATTTCATGTTAACTCCTTTCTCCAAATGCTTTCTACGTTCTAGACAAATGGCCTACACGGCATCGCTATGACCATGCATTTATACGGGCTGTTCATGGCCAGAAGAGGCCCCCACCTTTCCAACGCCTCACGGAGTTCTTGGCTTCATTCAGGGCTCAGAGCAGAGCCACCTCTCCACATGAAATCTTTGCTTTCTCCCGTCTCACTCCCCTTCCTATCTTTGGATAACAAAATAAGATAACAAGACCAGACACCTTGAGTTGGAAGAGGTTATCTAGTCCAACCCCTCAATATTATGTCAACTTCTTAATGACAGGGTTTGTTTTTTATCTCTGTGTCACCAGCACCTAGCGAGGCGCCTCACATAGAGTCAGGGCTTAATAAGTGTTTGTTGAACCGAACTGGAGGAAGTAGCACCTGGATTGAGCTTTGAAGGAAGAATTTCTTCAGCAGGCAAAGCTAGGAAGGGAGTTTCAGGCCTATGGGGAATGTGGATAGTTTACACAAATGCAGGGAAGTGGAACGATACAAGACAAGATGGAAGAAAACCTTGTAAGTCATCCTAAGAGTATGTACAGGAGAGTCGTGTAAAATACTAGTAAGGTAAGTTGGTCCCATGTTGTAGAGGACCCAAGATTTCAATTATCATTTATGCTACTGGTTCACTAATCTACTTATTTAGCCCTGACCTCCAGTCTTTTATCTCCAACTTCCCACTGCGCATCTCAAAGTGGATGGCCTGATGACATCTGAAATTCAACACGTACAAAACTGAACTATCTTTCTCCCTGAGCTCTTGCCTTCCCAAGCTTCCCTATTACTGTTGAGGGTACCACATCCTTCCCAATTCCCCAGGCTCAAAACCTAGGTACCGTCTTTGACTCCTCACTCTCTTATCAACCCTCCCCACCCCATATCAAATCTGTTGTCAAGTCCTGCTCTTTGAACCTTTGTAACATCGCTCATATATTCCCCCACCACCCCCCTTCTCTCTTCTGATGTTGCTACCTGGTGTAGGCCCTTCTCACCTCATGCCTGATCTACTGAAATAGCCTACTGGTTGGTCTCCCTGCTACAAGCCTCTCCCCAATTCAGTTCAACTTCTATTCAGTTGTCAAACTGCTCTTCTTAAAAAGCAGCTCTGATCATATCACACCTCTGCTCAATAAACTTCAATGCCTCCCTATTTTCACCTTCAGGATCAATTATAATATCCTCTGTCTGGCTTTCAAAGCCCCATATAACCCTACATAATCGGGCCTTTTCCCTACCTTTCTAGTGCTCTCTATACTCCCCCACACTCTCTGATCCAGCGACACCGGCTTCCTTGCTGCTCCTTGCACAAGATCCCCACCCCCTGACTGCAGGCATTTTCTCTGGTGGTCCCCAGGCATGCCAGGCTCTCCCTCCTCACCTCTGCCTCTTGGCTTCCCTGGCTCCCATCCCCAGCACTTAGTACCTGGCACATAATAAGTGCTAACAAATTTTTACCGATGTCAGAGTTTGCATTGTGCTCCACTGGCAACAGGGAGCCACTGAGGTCAGGGGTGTGACATGGTCAGATCTGTGCATCAGAAAGATTTGGGCAGCTGTGCTAAGGACAGATGGAAGACAGGAACAACTCTAGGCTAGGGAGCCTATTTTGGAGGCTATTCCAATGGCCCAACAGAGAGAGGATAAAGGCTTGACTGGACTGAAGTGGGGGAAGCACAAAGATGCCACATGAGAGATACTGCAGGGGTCAAATCCATAGGACAAAGTGGATTTAACTTTGTTCTCAACAGAGCTTTTAACCAGCATTCAACAGTCTATTTCGAGTCCCATTTCAACTCTTTCAACCCTCCACATTTCAATATGCCTAGGAGTTCTAGAAGAAATTCTGAAAGGAAGCCTGTACTTGAGGGTACTCCTAGTTTGTGACCATTTCTCTCCTATCTTACTAGGCAGTTTTCCCTATTACTACTGCCCCCCCCTTTTAGGTTTTAGGAACCACTTTTAGGTTCAATTAAATATAATACTCAAGGTATATATGCCTTCTTTGCTCTCTTTTTTTTCAGAGCTGAGCAACTAACAGCTTTAGAGAGTACTTTTCAATTAGATTACCTCCAATCCACAGCTATCAATTAGACAAATATTTAAATGAGTGGCTACTATGTATATGGTTACTGTGCCCAGTGCTGAGGAATGATTTACAGAAGCAGTGTACAGTTCTCTCTCATGTGGAGGTGGTGTGAGGATGGGGATCATTAGCAAAGACCTCATTAGAAAGTTAGGAGAAGAGGACAATGGAGAGATCAGCTTTGGCTGAAGCAGAGGTACTTAGGGAAGTAGAGAGGACTCAAACTCTAGAATGCCCAAGAAGCTGGGGGAGAAGAGGAACAAGGGGGTGGGATTTCAGGCCCTGAGCTTGATTTCAGTCAGTCCTCAGGGTGATCTTACTATGGTCACCAGTGGTGGAAAGACTCATTTCTGTATTACTGAAATACTCTTATTATCTTTCCTATTGAGCCTCTCTACAAGTCTGACTAGAAGAGAAATGAGAAAATTTAATATTTCAAGGCTCAGTTGATGGGAAGGCAGCATGGTACAGTAAAAGACTCTGGGGCCAGAGGACATGGGTTCAAATGCCTATGGGTGTATGCCTATTCCTTTTGCAACATTAGGCAAATTACTCAATCTTCCTGGTCCTCAGTTCCTCATCTGTAAAATGAGGATGTTGAACTAAATGATGTTCTGAGGTTCCTGCAAGTTCTAAATCTATGCTCCTCTGACTGGAGACTCCCTGGGAATTTCAGGGAATGGGTTCTGCCTCTGGCCCTCTCTCCACTTTGAACCCATTTCTTATTTCCTACACACCCTGACCCTACTCTGACTCCTTAGAAGTGTTGTCTTTCCCTATTAGAATGACAGTTTCTAAAGGGCAAGGACAATATTACTTGTTTGCATTTATATCCCTAGCACTTAATAAAAGCTTTTTCATTCATTTGTTTATTTCTCTAAGGCAGGGGTTAGTACCCGTTTTGGTGGCATAGACTTCTTAGAATAACATTTTTAAATGCACAATATGAAACATATAGGATTACAAAGGAAACCAATTATCCTGAAATACAGTTATTAAAATATTAACATACTTTAAAAATATCTGGTTATATAAATATCTGTTTGTGTAAAATATCTGGTTTCCCAGATTTAAGTGATAATATAAACAGATGTATGTATCATTTTGGCCATAGTCTGGGAACCAATTTGGTGTCAGAGAGCTGGTGAGACTTTGAAGTATGTATAACATTAGTAATAATAAACTTGCATGCTCTAAAGCAGGGGTGGGAAACCTTCAGCATTGAGGCCACGTGTGGTCCTCTATGTCCTCAAGTGTGGCCCTTTGACTGAATCCAAACTTCACAGAACAAATCCTTTTATTAAACGGATTCAGAGTCTAAAGCATTCCATAAATCACCTCATTTGATCCTTACAGCAACTCGGTGTGACAGGCAATACAAGCACCATTATCCCCACTTTATATATAAAAAGCTGAGGCTTACAGAGGCAATCTTTACAGAACTTCCACTGGAAGAACTCTCAGTGGCATCTACTCTAATTTAACCTGAATGAGAAGCCCCACAACAGCACCCATGACCAGTGGCCATTCCATCTTTGCCTGAAGATTTCCAATTTGGGTAGAAGGGAGAGTAGAGCTAGAGGTGCAGTTGAAAGAAAACCAAGAGTGACGAGGGTTGTTCATTTTACTTTTAGGGAATTATCATTGTTAATAGCCCTCACCTTGGGTTAATGAGTGGCAGAGTGCTAAGATCTGGACCCAAGCTTTTGGATTCCAGATCTACTGTTCTTTCCATAATGAAACACCCCTAACTAAATAGTCGCCTTATGTATCAAACATCTCCCCAAGGCTCTTCTCTTCTCCCATAATCTCTCTACCTCTTTGATCATAACATGGAACTGATTTTTTTTAAACATCTCTTGTACTTATTGAATTCTTTCTATGTTTCTTGTCCTTAATTTAATATTACTGAGTTGAATATTTTATTTTCTCTGAGAAAGAAAATATATTAAATTATGCTGCTTTATATATGAGGGAATGGAAATTGAGAGTCTCTCTACGATTCTCATGTGATCTTGATTTTTTTTTCCTTGTAGGAAAGTTGCTCCAGGTAATTAAAGAGTAACACTATGTAATAGGCTTTTAGGAAGATTAATCTGGTGGCAGTGGGGAGACTGCTGCATTAATTCAGACATGAGAAGATGAAAACTTGAAGAAGGTAGGTAGCAGATGAAATGGGAAGGGTGGAATGTGACAGATTTTTAAGGAAGAATTATTAGGCTTGTTGACTATAAAGGAGGACTTTTCATGGTATATGGAGGAAGAGGAGGAGGGATTCAATTATTACTTAAATTTTTTGAGCCTAGATACCTCAGAGAATAGTGGTGAAACTAACAATAATGCATTTGGCTCAGTGTATGTAGAATTTGAGTTGTAAATAACAATAACAACAACACCAATAAGCATTACATAGCTTTTTAAAGTTTGCAAAGTGTTTTAAATATATGGAATCATTTGATCTTCACAACAACCTGAGGAGGCAGGTGTTATCACTACTCCCATTTTACAGGTGAGGAAACTGAGGCAGATGGAGGTGGAGGGATCTGCAGGGAATCACGTAGTTACTATGTCTTGGAGGCCACCTCTGAACTCAGATCTTCCTGACTCTAAGTCTAGCACTTTGGATACTGTGCCACCAAGTAGAAATGCTTGTCCACATTGGAAGATGGGTAGTAGAACTTATGGTACGGCTTTTAATATGCCAAATTAGCTCAATAAATAATTCAAATTTAAAACTTGGGGGAAATAAAAGGCTGTTAACATTCAAGCCCAGATAACAGATGTTCCATAAAAACACACTGATTAGTTAACTAGAAAGCAACAAAAATGTGTAAATCTCAACTAAAGTCCTACTCAGATATTTTGTTATAAAATAGAGCTGACTTTGGATTTTCATCAAAAGCTACACTAGCAGAGTACAAAATTTAGTAGGCTCTACTAATCTAGAAAGGCTTTAAGTATAAGACGTCAATGAATTGTGGCTACTGTCCAAGGACCAGCACAGAGTGGCTTGTCACCATAAGACTAACAATTACATGACAATATTCTTGGCCGCAGCAAGTCACAGAAACAGTTTACTAAAGCAGAGAGGGATTCCAATCTGCATTGGTGGATAGAGGTCCCACACTGAAAAACAGTTGTGAAGTACAAGTATTTACATTAATAACTCTAAAAAGATTCTCCAAATTATTTTGTTACGTTGAAATTTTGCTATACTGATTAAGTGAGTCGCATATGCTAGGAATCAAAATTCTAAAGATTCTTCTACTGTTATGATATGGACAGTTAGGTGTTATAGTGAATGGAGCTCAGGACTTGGAGTCAGGAAGACCTAAGTTCGACACCTGCCTGGCATTCACTAGTTGTATGACCTTGGGCAAATTACTTGACCTCAGCCTCAGTTTCCTCATATGTAAAATGGGAATAATGATAGCCATTACCTCTCAGTATGGTTGTGAGGATGAGATAATATTTATAAAGTCTTTTGCAAACCTTAAAGTAATATATAAATGCAAGCTATTATTATTATCATTATGAGCTGATGTGGGAACTGACTGCTCTCGTTGATGATACAGCGCTGTTATGCTGGATAAAGCAGCATCTTTCAAGAAGATAACACAATGTGTATCATCATCATGTTATGTTTTACTCTGTCAGTCATCGATCCTTACTGGGTACATGACACAGCAGTTGTTATTCTAGTTCTCCTTCAAACTCCCACTTACAATAATAATTGACAGCTAACATTTATATATTGCTTTAAGATTTGCAAAGTGCTTTATATATAGGGAGTGATACATTTGGTCAGACTTAAAAAGAGAATGTTTTTCTGTAACCATTCAGTAATATATTTCAGTCACCCACTGGCCAAGGATAACAATTTACAGTTTTAATAATTGGCCTTCTTTATTCTGAAGTAGGCCTTACGCTGGCTCCACTATAAGATAAATTTAAAATTGCATAGGTTTTGTCAAATATTATCTTGCTAATAAAACTAGATCAAGCATTTTATTTAAAAAAAAAGAGTCAGCAAAAAAGCTAATTAGCAATGGGTCTGTGAGATCTTCCAATTCAACAAACATAAATTAGCCTTCTTTCATTACCTACCCACTACCCTGTATCATCTCATTGCATCTATAAACTCTCATTTTCTCTGTCTAGTTTATCAATGACTATATTTCAATGGTCTAGTGGGATGTTCTTTGTTAGCATTATCATTAGTATCAACAGGAAGCAGGAAAAATATTTGCAAGTTTTTTTTTTCAAAACACACTTAACAAAATAGGAAGATAGCAATGGTACTTAAATGCAAAGCAACATCATAAATGCAGTCAAACTCCATCTGGAATAATGTGTCTAGTTTTCTGGGTGCCATAGTTCAGGAAGGATATTGTTAAGCTTGAGAGCATGCCAGGCCAGAAATAATAACAGTAGAGAACAGTAAAGAAGGATAAGAAAGAAAAGAAGACCTTTCTTACCTGTAATCTCTTGTAGTCTCCTGACTGATTTCTTTGACACTGTCTGGCTTATGATGGTTTGGGAAGATGGTTCATCCTCTAAAGAACAAAACATGTTAACAGTTAAAACTGAGACAGAGAGAGAGAGGGAGAGAGGGAGGGAGGGAGGGAGGGAAAGAGGGAGAGAGGGAGAGAGGGAGGGGGAGGGGAGGAGAGAGAGAGAGAGAGAGAGAGAGAGAGAGTGTGTGTGTGTGTGTGTATGTGTGTGTGTGTGTGTGTGTAAAAACACAACACACCCCCATTCAGCTCAGGTGCCACCTCTTTAATGAAGCCTAATCCTTGGGCTGAAAGCATTGCTCTCTCCTCAACATTTTTTTTTAAACAAAACTTCATCTCTACCTTGCTCTATCACATTCCACTTTGTATTATACTTATTTGTTATATGCCTCGTCCTCCTCCTTGAGGAAAAAAATTGTACAATTTTTCATGTATCTGTAGCTCTGAAGTGCCTTGCACATAGTAGCTGTTGAATAATTGCTGAATGCAATATCTTCTGCACTTATGTTAAAATTTTAAAGATTTGATGTTAATGTTTTAAAGCGACTTCTCTAAGTGTCTCCTGCAGGGCCACCAACTAGAAGGCTTTATTCACTTATATTCTTTGTAGCACCTAGCACAATACTTTGCACACAGTGTAGGGACTCAGTAAATTTTAATTACATTAAGGTTAAACAAAAAAAGTCAGAAACACTGCAAGCAGTAGTGAAGACATATGAAAGTGGTCACAAAGAGAAAATATTTCTATATATTGAGGTTTACTAGCAAAGTATGTAGAAGTAGTACTAAAGAAGTGAAACTGGTATTTCCTTCTGGAGGCTCTATGTGTACAAGAAGGGAAAGGAAGGATGGGCTACAATCAGCACTGAAGGACTATATGCTCAAGTTGGTGAGATGAAAGATCCACTAAAGAGTAGAAAACACAATCATCCTTTTATTTTTCTCATTCAGTGACTACCAATTGAACACTCATTATGTGCACAGGTGCTGGGGGTAGGATCCAGAAAAAATGACAGGACCCCAGCCTTGCCCTTAAGTGTGTGATCTTGCTGAACACACACACACACACACACACACACAAAAAAAAATTAATAAAATATTTTAGAGAAAACATACAAAACAGGTAATAATCATGCAAACTTGAGTGAACATCTCTAAAATCAACAAGCTTTTAAATGTCACCAAATGTCCATAAAGAATAACATAGCTCACATTTATAATGAGCTTTACTCCCAACACCCTTTTAACAGACAGCAAGGCTAAAGAACTGACCTGGAATTTTACCCATTATCACAGAACCTGGGGGAGGGAGCTACTCCCGCAAGGCAGGGCAGCATTCTACCTTCTTGGCAACTTACAGTATTAGAAAGCTGCCTAGAGTAGTGAGGGGTTAAATGACTTCCAGGGTCACAAAGTCAGTTTATGTGAGAGGAAGGACTTGAATCCGGATTTCCTGGCTTCAAGGACAGCTGGATAGATATCCACTACCTCCCTTTGCCTCTCCTGATGCAGATAAGGCCTATACTTACTTTCATTTTACTTACGATGAACTTGAAATTGAGATCCAGAGATTCCATTAGACTGTGAACTCCTTGAGGGCAGGGACTGTTTTTTTACCTCTTTTTGCTTGACACATAGAAAGAGCTTAATAAATGTTTAATAACTGACACTGACAGAGATGTTAAATCAGGGGTGGGGAGCCTTCAGCCTTGAGACCACATGTAGCCCTGTAGTCCTCAACTTCGGCCTTTTGACTAAGTCCAAGTTTTATAGAACAAATCCCTTTATTAAAGGCATTTGTTCTGTGAAGTTTGGGTTCAGTCAAAAGGCTACACTTGAGGACCTAGAGGGCCACATATGGCCTCTCAAAGCTGAAGGTTCCCCACCTCTGGGTTAAAGGATTTGCCAAAATGATCTTCATAAAGCACGGATCATTCTCCTACTCAATAAATTTCAGTGGCTCCCTACTACCTTCAGGATCAAATATAAAATCTTTTGGTTTTTAAAGCCCTTTATAACCTGGCCCCTCCCCACTTTTCAAGTCTTGCACTTTACTAGTCTCCACAAGATCAGGCAACACCAGCCTTGCTGCTATTCCTTGGGCACAATTTCTCTTCTCTGTGCCTTTTCATCACCTGTTCCATATTCCTGGAATTTTTTTTCTCCTTTCTGCCTCTTGGCTCCCTTCAAGACTCAAGGTCCAAATCCTATCTCGGGCAAGTTGCCTTTGCTGCCCCCTCCCCTCAATGTACAGTGACTCCTCTCTGAGATTACTTCCAATTTACCCTGCAAATATATTTTTGTGTTAATATATATTTTTATCTTGCACTTTGATAGTGGTTTACATGTTGTTTCACCAATTAAAATGTGAGATACTTGATGGCAGGGGCTGTTTTTAATCTTTCTTTGTATCTCTAGCACTTTGCACTGTGGCTGGCATATAATAAGTGCTTAATAAACACACCAATCAATGCAACTTACCACATCACCTTGTAATTCAACCCCCTGTGTCTGTCAAACCTCAATGGTGACTCATATCCTTTGCATGACATTTTGCCTATGAGTCAGTGTCAAACCCACCTCCCATTCCCCAATACACACCTTGGGGTAATTCCCTACCTCAAATGTACCTGGAATTACAAACCCAGGTGTATCCCCCTCTCCTCTATACATGGACATTTAGCACAGTGGCTGACATAACAGGCACATGCTTCCTGACTTGACTTCACCTTGGGTCAGGTTTCTTCATAACTAGAGTGGGTTCTCATTTCTCCTTCTCTTCCTTCACAACCATAGGGACCCCTCCTCTGCCGCCCCCCAAATCTTTCAGGGCAAGGCCATATTACTTTAGGAAGGAGATCTCATAAAGAGGAAAAGGGTAATTAACTCAAGTTTACCGGGTTTAGTGAAACTGGCCACTCCATCTCCATCTCCATCCTCGGGCATTTTCATTGGCTGATCCCCACGCCCGGTTCACTCTTCCCTCCTCATCTCAGCCTCCTGGTTTACTCCAAGTCCCAGCTAAGACCCCACCTTCTACCAGAAGGCGTTCCTGGTCCCCCTTAACGCTAGCACCTTCCCTCTGATGATTATCTTCAGTTTATCCTGCTCTCGTCTGTACCTACTCGTTTTCCTGCTCTCTCCCGTCAGACTGTGAGCTCCTTGACAGCTGGGATGTCTTTTGCTTTTCTTTGATTCCCCAGCGCTTAGCACGGGGCCGGCACATAGCAGGCGCTTAGGAAATACTTATTGATTGAGTCCAAGAGGTCTCTCAAGAATCAAGACAAATGTCAAAATTCTCACTGAGCCTGGGGTGGGGCCAGTGCCCCCCTGCCAAGCAGAACACAAGTGCCCTTGCTCTCCCACTCTCGGGGGGCTACTGCCCCCTGCCCCCTCCTCTCTTTTCTTTCTTCCTCTATGGAGGGTGGGGAAGGATGACAAGTGGGGGTGGGGTCACTAGCCTGAGCATGCAGGGGACCCCCTTCGCGAGGAAACGCGCCCCGGGAGCCCCGGCGAGGTGGGGGGCTGCTGAAACGGTTTGTTCCGTCTACGCCATCCCCGTCCCTCTTTTCTCTCCCTACCGGGACGGCCCGCATCCTCCTCGGGACCCAGGTGCCCATCCCGCCCCACCAACTTCCGAGTAATGCCCTCCTCCACCTTGGGTCTCCCAGCCGGGAGCCCATTCCTCGCGAGAGGCCGAGAGCGGCGCGAGAAGAGGACCCCCCCCCCGCAGGGCGCGGAGCGGTGCCCGCTCGAGGCGGGAAACCTCCCTCCCACGCTGGGCGCGCGCGCCTCTCCAGCCCGTTACCTCGGCGGCGGCGACCGCCTCCGCCGCCCTCACCTTCCGAGGACTGCAGATCCCGCAGCCCTCTCCTGGTAGTGGCCGGCGAGGGCTGCGGCGGCGGCTGAGCCTCCTGCTGCTGCTGGAGCCGGGTCGTTCTCCTCGTATTCATCTCTCCAAGTCGCGGGCGCGAGAGATGAGCGTGTTGCCGAGACCTAAGGTAATAATAGGCTCTGTCCTCCACTTCCTCTTTGTCGGATACAGGGCGGAACTCTTGTGTCTGGGTCCCCTTTTCCACCCGGGCACTTCCGCTGGACGCAAGCGGCTCGAAGTCGCCGTACACTTGGGGCGGGAGCTCAGAGAACCTCACTTCCCGCCGGCGACTGTGCCGAGTCGAGGGGCTTCCGTACGCAAGCACTTCCCTTCCGCCGCCATCTTGAGGGGCGAGCGAGCGTCTCCCTTGTCGTAGAGGGGCCCTGGGCGTGACGTGCTCTGCCCAGCCCTCGCCTGCCATGGTCGGCGGGCCCGGGCTGGCTGGCCGGGCCCCTCGCTGGAACGGCGGCGGGGGCTCCGCGCCCGTCAGGGAGGCAGCTGGGAGTCGCCGGGACTGCCGCCGCCGCCGCTCTCGTCACTGTAGCCGCCGCAGCGTCCGGCCTCCTCCGGGCCCATGGTAGCTCCCGAGGGTTATGAGGCAGCAGTGCCCGGGCTCGGTCAGCTGCTGCTGGCTGGGTGTCACCCCCCGCCCTCCTGGCTGGAGGCCCGAAAGAGGAGGAGAAGGGAGAGCCTGGCCCTCCTGCTCGGGGGGCGGGGAGGGGCCCGGCCGGAACCTCGTCCTGAAGCGAGAGTCAGCGGTGGCTCTCGAGGCCGTAGACCGGCTGTGGCGCCGCATTCCTGAGCCCGGCCGCCTTGTCCGAGGCCTTCCCGAGACTCCCCGACGGGCGGCCGTGCTCAGAGGGAGCCCGGGAGAGCGCAGCCGCGCCTTTAAAGTCCGATCTGCTTTATTACTGTCCCTCCCTCATTTTATTAAACCTGAACAGTCGGCAAGAACTCCGGGTTCGTAGCGTTAAGTGCCCGCGCTGACAGTCCCACCATCAGCTGGAGCCGGCTCCGTCACCCCCGAATCTCTCTTACCCACCTCCCGACTCTGGTGAATGGTTCGAGGTTCCGGCGGAGACGTTGACATTTTTGGACTTGAATAATTCGGGGATTCATCTTTTGCTTTGACTGCCTATTGAAGGGATTTCCCCCCTCCCCTCCCTCCCCATCCCCCGCCTCGGGTAAATTAGGGGTGGGAGAGGGAAAAAATTATTGTTAATTGAAAAAATAAAATAAACTTGTAAAGTGGAGCTGTGTATGCCCCATCATGGTGAAATGTTTGTATTTTCATACACTCAGTGAAGGCAAAAGCTACTCGGTTTTTGACTTTGAAGTCGACTGTTAAGAATATGGGAAATCTCTTTCTACCCGAAGAACGAAAGCAATATATGAGTATTATAAGAAATGAAAAAAAAGTTTATCCGACAACCATATCGTGATACTAAAATGATTCAGAAGAGTCTTGCTTACAAATGTGCCAGCGGATTACAGACAGAAAACATTTGTAAAACTAGGTGCTTGGTACCGTGGAAGGAGTCGGAGAAGCTGACTTAAGTTCTGCAGCTTGACTACTTTCACTTAGTCCTGCTGGGCGCCTCACTTCCTCATCTTTAAAATTAAGAAGTTGTTTACGTTCCTTCGAGCTCTAACTCTGTGGTCTTTTTGGAAACTGACATTCCTCTAATGTGAAATTAAGGAGAGCTTTCTGCTTCATTAACGACTTAGTAAATTCACCTGTATGCTAATTTTTTTTCCTTTTTTAAATCTGCATTTATTAAGTACCGAATCTGTGCCAGAGACTAGAATACAAAATGTTAAAAACTAGGTAGAACCAAAATAGTAAATAATCCACATAACACCATACTCATATTAAACAAAACCAATCATTTTTATGTATGTGACAAATCCTTGAGTATGCTTTGAAATTAGTTTAAGGAATTTAAAGTTATTGCAATCTTGTTTAAACTGCTCTGTTGGTAAATATAAACCTCCATATCTCAACTTTTGTTCAGATAATCATAAATTCAGAATTAGTGCATACAAACCTTGATGTTCTATGATTTTTATCATAAACAAAATATAGACTGTAAATAGCATTGGCAAAGAATATTCTTTGTGTTAGGTAACATAATACAGGAACATAATAGTGTCCATGATAGTGCTTTTAAAAATCTGTGACTCATTTTTTTACATATTTGGTATGAACACTAGTCTGCAGTAAAATAATAGAACAAAAGACAGAAAAAGAGAGAGCACTAAGAAAGAAATAGCTCTTTGTTGCTTTTTGCTTTTTATTGCCTTCAGAAAGGGAAAATGAAAGTGGTCTATGTTAGCCTAAGGGATAGATAACATGAGACCACAAGTTTTTTTTGCTGCTTTTAAAATTATTCAAAAGTATAAAATAAGTAGTTAACTAGGATTTGGTATTTTAGAAATCTCTTCTAAAAAGAGTATGTTATTAACATTAAAAACCCACTGTTATTAGTTGACTATTAAATATTATTAAATTACACTGTGTATCATAAATCAAATGATCTACTGAATAGACATTGTCAAAAGAGCCCTCAAGGGCCTCTTTTTTTTTTTAACAGTAGGTTAATATAAGCAAAAATAATAGAGGTATGAAAAACTTACCTTTGGGCCCTTTTTGTTGTGGAGGGTATTTCCTTAATTTCTTTTATGTGTGGTCTAGAAAGGAAGGGGTTCATCTACTATTCTGCTTACTGGTGCACTGCCAAAAAGAACTCAAGAATGGCTTCCTCAAAGAAATGAAACTTAAAAAAAAATGGCACAAATAATTTTGGACAGAAGTTTGCTTGTTTGTGGCCTTGGTCTACCTGGGAGGACCGCTTATATCCTGGCCCCTCTCTTTGTGAGGTGGCAACAGAAGCTGCAGATGCCTAACAATATATGTGTTTCACCCAGCAACCCCTTAAAGCTCAACCTAGAGAAAAGTTTTAGTGACAGAGCTGTCCAGCAGTGGAATTGGCTGACTTCAGCAGTGAAATTCCTATTGAGATGATAGATTTAGAGATGGAAAGGACTACAGAAGCCATGCAGTCCAACCCCTTATTTTACAGATAAGGAAACAGGCCCAGAGAGATCAAGTGACTTGAAGGTTTACAGGTAATCAGAGATGAGATTTGAGCCACAGCCTCTGATTCCAAAGCCAGTGTAATTTGTGTACCCTACCGGAGACTTTCTCTCTTAGGTTTGGGGAAGAGATTTCTTCATTTCATATTAGCTTATGACCAGAATAAACTTGTCATTTTAGTTACCAATCGCTGAAAATTACTATAACACCCCCTAACAAGGGATTGGCTAGGATCTGTAGTTCTCCATTGGGAAAGGCTGCAATCCCTGTTTCTTCTTAAATTGCGAAGAACTAAAGATCTCAGTGGATTTTGTGGCCAGCCGATCTCTTGCTAGGGGTTGTTTGATTACAATTTTGAAATATTTCTTAGTTAAGCGCCTAGAATGTCATGGAGAAAAATTTCAGCTTTCAAAGCACTGAATTAAATTCCGTTCTGAATTTCACTCTTACTGTAGAGGGACAATGCCCTCTCCCCAGTCATTCAGGTTCAAAACATTGTTGGCTTGGCCATTTGTTACTCCTCACTCGTCCTTCATGCTCAGTCTGTTGTCAAATTTTGTCATTTCTACCTTCATGACATCTCTTATACATCCCATTTTCTCTACTCATGCAGCCAGAACTCCAGTTCAAGTCTCTTCTCAATGCAATCTATCTCTACTCAACTGCTGGAGTAGTTTTTTTTCTAAAGTATGGACCTAACTCTGACACAACATTGGGTTCTGTGGCTCCTTGCAAGATCAAATTAAAGATTTCAGTCTGGCTTTTAAAGCTCTTCATAATCTGTCCCCTTCCTCTTTAAAATCTTACACTTTACTCGATTCTACACACAATGTGATCTAACTACACTGACCTCAAAATTCTTTGGTCATGACACTCTGTCTCATTACCATGCCTGGCGGTCAGTCTCTCATTCTCTCGGACCTTAGAGATGGCTGCCATTAGACACAAAGAGGTTTATAGATGTAAAATTATTTTATGCACACTATCAGTTCTTTCTCTGGATGCAGAGAACATCTTTTTTGTATGTCCTTTATTTTTTTATTTGTGTATAACAATGAAAATGACTTAGTCGCTCAAAGTCTTTCTTAAAACAATATTGCTGTTATTGCATGCAACATTTTCTTGGTTCTGCTCACTTCACTCTTCATTTCATACAAATCTTTCCATGCTTTCTAAGATCATTGAGCTCATCATTTCTTATATAGCACAATAGTGTTCCATCACAACCATACACCACACTTTGTTCAGCCATTCCCTAACTGATGGACGTCCCCCTTCAATTTGCAGTTCTTGCCACCACAAAGAGAGCTGCAATAAACATTTCACTCACATTCAAAGTTCTAATTACTATTTGTGAATTTCTAGCCATCTTATTTTTACTCACTATTTTATTTCTCGGCCTCTCTTTTTACCAAATCTGTGTTACCTTATCTTCTCTTCCCCACCTTCTCACCCTTTACTTCACCCACCCCTCTGTATCCCCCCCATCCCTCCAATGTATGTCCCTCTAAAAGTCTTTCCCTGATCCTGTCCCTAATTTTCTCACTTTTACATGTTCAGAAGACTCTACACTCTTCTGGAATGTTTTTTCCTGTCATCTCTGCCTCTTAGTCTTTCTGGCTTCCTTCAAGACTGAGTTCAAAACCCATGGGAAGTCTTTCCCCTGCCTCACCTCTGCACCTACCCCCAAATGTGAATGGCTTCTGCCTTTGATATTACCTCCCATCTACTCCGTATAGATTGTGTATGCACCTAGTTATTTGTTATTATCTACCCATTAGACTGTAAGTTCCTTGAAGGCAAAGGATTCCCCTCCCCCCCCATTCTTTGTATACCCAGTGGATAGCACAGTGGGAAGCACACAGTAAACACTTAAATGCTAGTTGTTTGATACTAAGAGTACATTTAACACTGGAGAATGTAACTAGTGAGGCAGTATCTTCTGAAGAAATGGGAAGCCAGGTTTCTGAGTCCAAGAAGTTGGAAAGACTAAGAGGAAGCCATTTAAGAGGAAGTGAAGTTAATCTGCAATAGGTGCAGAGGTGTATGAAGATTTTCAACTTGGCAGATGGTGACAATCACAAACATGCTTAGGTCTGGCCAATAATTAAAACAGTAACAGTAAAACTGTTGCAATAGCATTTATATAGGTCTTTAAAATTTGCAAAGCACTTCACAAAATGTTTTCTAATTTTATCCTCACAACAACCTTGGGAGATAGGTGCTATTATTATCCCCATTTTACAGATGAAGGAAGCTGAGGCAGACAGGTGTCAAGTGGCTTGTCCAGGGTCACAGGCGCAGCTAGTAAATATCTTAAGGCTAGATTTGACCCAGATGTACCTGACTTGTAGTCTAATGTTCTATTATTGTACTGTCTAGCAACAGCAGCAAATGACCGTTGATTCCTCTGCTCTCTCCATCTACTAACTACTATCCCATGTCTGTGTAGTAGACATAATTTACCACTATGTAATGAAATAATTGGTTTCAGTTGTAAATATGATATGAAATTGTATAAAGAGCAAGTTTAGTAACTCAGCATTTTTTTAAAAAAATTATTTTTTGTTAGATTTTGAGTTCCTCCCTCTTTCCCCACCTTGCAGTAGAGAAGGCCACTATTTGACACAGATATATACATATATCTGTATATCTGTATATATACACATATATGTAAAACTATATTATGCATACTTCTAGTTACCAGTTCTTTCTCTGGAGGTAAATAGAGTCTTCCTTCATAGGTCCCTTGTAGTTGATTTGAGTGTTTATAATACTCGGAATAACTAGGAACGACTAAGTGTGTATGTAACTTAGTTGTTCCTAGCTATTTGCGACATTGCTGTTGCCATATACAACTTCCACTTGGTTCTGCTCATTTTACCCCTCATTATTTCATGCAAGTCTTTCTGTATTTTTCCAAAATCAACCTGCTCATCATTTCTTACAGCACAGCAGTTTCCCAATATAATCATATATTACAATTTGTTTAGCCATTCCCCAGTTGACGGGCATTCCCTCAATTTCCAGTTCTTTGCCACCAGAAAGGGAGCTGCTGTAAATATTTTAGAACATATGGGTTGTTTTTCTTTTTCCCTGATCACCTATGAAACAGACCTAATAGTGATATTGCTAGGTCAAAGGGCATACACAGTTTTATAACTCTTTCGACATAATTTCAGTTGCTCTCCAAAATGATTGGATCAGGTCACAGTTCCACCAACAGTGTGTGTCCCAATTTTTCCATATCCACTCCAACATTTGTAATTTTCCCCATCTATCATTTAAGCCAATCTGATACATGTAAGATGATATCTCAAAGTTGTTTTAACTTGTATTTCTCTGATCAATAATGATTTAGAGCATTTTTTATATGACTATATATAGCTTTTATTTCTTCATTGAAAAACTGTCTATTTATATCCTTTGATCATTTATCAGTTGAGGAATGACTCTTATAAATTTGACAAAATTCTCTATTTTAGATATGAGACCTATGTCTGAGAAGCTGTCTGTAAATTTTTTTGCACAATTTTCTGCTTTCCTCCTAATCTTGGCTACATCGGTTTTATTTGTACAAACCCTTTTTAATTTAATGTAATAAAATTATCCATTTTACATTTCCCAATGCTCTCTATCTCTTGTTTATTCGTAAATTCTTCTTTTCATAAGTCTGATAGGTAATATGTTCCATGTACTTCTAATTTACTTATATCTCCCTTTATATTTAGGTCATGTATCCATTTTGACTTTATCTTGGTAAATGGCATAAGATATTGGTCTCTACCCAATTTCTGCCAGACTGCTTTCCAGTTTTCCCAACTTTTTTTTTTTTACCAAATAGTCAATCCTTATCCCATAAGTTTAAATCTTTACATTTGTCAAACCTAAGGTTACTATAATCATTTACTACCCTGTATTTTATGTCTACTCTGTTCTACTGACCACTTTTCTATTTCTTTTTTTTTTAATTTTTATTTTTTGTTTTTTTTTTTTTGGTGAGGGCAATTGGGGTTAAGTGACTTGCCCAGGGTCACACAGCTAGTGAGTGTTATGTGTCTGAGGGCAAATTTGAAGTCAGGTCTTCCTGACTCTAGGGCCGGTGCTCTATCCACCACACCATCTAGCTGCCCCTCACTTTTCTATTTCTTAGCTAGTACCAGACAGTTTTGATAATTACTGCCTTATAATACAGTTTAAGATCTGGTTAAACCTCTTTCCTTTGCAATTTTTTTCCCATTAATTCTTTAGATATTCTTGACCTTTTGTTCTTCCAAATGAATTTTATTATTTTTTTCTACCTCAATAAAATACTTTTTTGGTAATTTAATTGGGATGGCATTGAATAAATAGATTAGGTAAAATTGTCATTTTTTTATGTTGTCTCTGACCACAAATGAATAATTAATATTCCTCCAATTATTTAAATCTGACTTTATTTGTATAAAATGTTTTATAATTATGTTTATATAGTTCTTCAGGTATTTATGCAGTCTGGTTATTTTATCTCTTACATTTTTTCTTTCAGGGTTTTGTTGGTGATATAGTAACTCCAAACTTTTAAGTGAAAGATGAACTGAGCTGTTAGTCTTAGCCTTCTGCCCTTCTTTCTTTTTCATTTCAGGGTGGTTGATCCTTTATTTATTTTACATGAATAACATTATATGCTTTATTGAATACTTTGCTACAATTAAGTGAACTATACTGATAGCATCCTCCATATCAGATTATTAACCCTGTCAAAAAGGAACTTAGTTTTCTGTCTTGCTGATTTACTAACATATTTCTCAAAAAAGCTCTTTATTCCCAATGCCCTAAGTTCCTTGATTACCTGTACTTTTGTTATTTGAATTTTTGACCCAATCAGTCTGACTGGAATTGCTGTCTCAAAAAAATGCTAGTGACTACCAAAGTGCCTAATATAACCTTTTACTCCAGTGGTAATTACTTGCCTTACCTAATTACCTATACCTCTATGAAGGATCTAGACACTCTTGACCACCTTTTCCTTCTAGATACTCTCCCTGTCCTTATGGATGTTATGTTCTTGCTTGTTGTTACTGTCATAATGTGTATATACTGCTTTGAGGTTCATAAAGAGCTTTCTTCACAACAGTACTGTCACGAGTAGTTCAGTAGTTCAGTTGTTATCCCCACTTTGTGGATATAGAGGTGAAGGCTCTCAAGGGCAAGTGACTTGTTTGTGGTCCTCCAACTAGTAAGTCTGATAAGCAGTCGAAGGAAATGGGATTGTTTATCCTGAAGAAGAGAGAAGATTTGAAGGTAAGCAGGGAGAGGAATGTTACAGCTGTGTTCAAGTATTTAAAGGCTTGTCACCTGGAAGAGTGTTATATTCCTTTTTTGCTTGGCTCCAGGGGAAGAACTGGGATTACTAGGTAAAAAAAAAAAAGATGTAAAAGGGAAAACTGGGTCTTTACATAAGGAAAATTTTCCTCATAATTCAAGTATCCAAAAGTGGTATGGGCTTTTTCAGAATGTAATGGGTACTACCTTCATTGGAGGTTTCAAGGGGTCCTTTTTCGTGTTTGGATTGGGATCTTCCACCTCTGAAATTCTGTGATTCTATACATTTAAAGTGACCAGAAAAATTTAGAGTACATACTTTCTAGGTTGGAAGGTAGTTAAAGAATTAATAATAGCTATCATTTATGTAATGCTTTCAGATTTGCAAAGAACTTTAGATACAATATACATGTAAACTCTCTTGATTCTCACAGCATCCTTGTGAGGTAAGTGCTATTATTATTCTAGAACTGAGGAAGCTCAGGCTGAGAGAAGCGATGGGACTTGTCTGAAGATTGCCTAGTTAATAAACGGACTAATGACAACTATCGAATGCCCACAGAAGATGGGAGCATATCTTTAGAATATTCACAATTTTCTGAAAATAAGAATTTTGAAAGTGCTGCTTAATAAGCAAAATGAGGCAAGTATGTGTTGTTGATAGTCGTAACCTGTAGTTACATAATCTTCCTTATAGGAAGGGTGGAAAAACTACTACTCCCAGCATGCCACTGGAGGCCTTTTCCTTGGGGCAGAGTTCACTGTCACATTGACCAGGGAAGGATTTGAGGCCCTGGGTGTGTGTAGCTACCTGTTTTTCTAGTCCGGATTGAAAACCAAAAAGTTTCATGCCTTTGGAATTTGATTATTGAAGTGGTCTTTGATTCAGAATCCACTATTAAGAACGCTTTTCCTGTCATCAAGAATCTGTGAGTAAGTAAACTCAATTTCTTCATCTGAAACATAAAGGGGTTAGATTAATTGAGCTTTAAAGTCCCAGCTCTAACAATTATGTGATTAAAATTAACATTCAACTCTACATTGTTTCAGTTTCTAGAATGCTTGCTTTTCACTGTTGCCCTTTTACCAACCCCAGCTCCCCTCCCCCTTCAAAAAAAGTTACCAAATAAGGAAGAATGTGTTATTTTGTATTTTGGTGGAAAGGTGGAAAAAGGGGAATTTTTATAGATTTTAGAGAATGAACTGGAAACCTAGTTCCTGGGTCTGGTTGAAATCGATACTTAGTTTAGCTATGTAGTAAAATTAAGAATAGTGCAGAGTTGAAGACAGGACCTTTTGATGAACTTCTCTAAAGCTTAAGAGTTGAGAAAGAGCAAAGTTTGAAGAATTCTGGACACACAGGTTCTCCAAAGCATCTAACATTTTGATTATGTAATATTAATGTGCGATACCCTGTTTTGTCTCCAAATCACAGAAAGTTACTTTGTCCTCCTTCCTTACACGTGATATTTAGAATGACTTTGCGTTGTATCAGTCAATTAATAAGAATTTATTAATTACCTACTATGTGACAAGCACTGTGCAAAGTGGTGGAGATAGCTGAAAATGAAACAATCCTGCCCTCCTACTAGTATAGTATGTTTGTTGAACTGAATTGATTTTAATTATTTAAAACTCAGTTGGACCCCCCAAACCTATTATAACTCTTTCTGTTATTAGAAATACTAAATTGTGAAAATATATTTTTTTGACCAGACCTAATTTGTCATCTATATCAGTTCTCAATGAGGAACTCTTCCTATCAAAGCAGATCGGACCTGCAGTATATCTTATTGGTAGCTTATTGGCTTGGTTAAGTGACTTGCCCAAAGTCATACAGCCTATATGTGTAAGAGGCAGGACTTGAACCCAAGTCTTAGAGGCCAGCACTCTCTCAAAACTTTATATTTTTAATTTATTTATTAATTGTTATTTGTTAATTTGTTATTTGTTAACTAAAACGGATCCTCGCATCTGGCCAGACATTTTATATGTTGTTTCAGTTCTTATGTTAACAAAATAATAATCATAATATCAATAACAATAATAATATTAACTTATTTTCCCTATTCTCTTAAAATTAAGTTTGAAGCCTCTAACCTAACCCTTTTTTATGTACCTTATTGGTAAATATTGCCCATTGGATAATTTTATAAGTAAATATTGGGGTAATAAAAATTAAGTTACCTAACAGTGGGAGATGAAAAAAATTTTTTTAAACCTCACTAACCCAGTTCTTTGGGGCTTTCTGATGTGTTATTAACACTTTGAGGAAACAGAGTTACCAGACATGGTATAAAAACGTTTACAGTGAAGCACACCTTCTGGTATGGTAGCAGGTAGATCTGAATCGGATGACCAGTTATGCTGTGCATTTGTCATGTAACCTTTGGTTATGTGAGTCACAGATTGCTTATTTATTTGACTTTGTAATGTAGAGATAACAGCAATGGCCTGAAGAGCTTTGCTCTGTAATTGGCAGTAGGGTAGAAAGAGCATTGGCCTTGGAGTAAGAACCTATGGTACAAGTTGCCACGTGGATAATAAAGTGGCAGTCAGGATCTGAACCTAAGTTTCCGATTCCACATGGAGTGTTCTGTTACATCGTACTGCCTTGGAGCAGTTGTCAAAATGTGGACTAGGAAAGCCTTGAAAATTAAATATACCGTAGAGGAAATAAGTACACACATACGTATACACTTATATATGTATATGTGTACCTATATTTTATATATATCAATTTAAAAAATGTGAGTTCCAGATTCTCTCTTCTCTCACATTCCTCTCCTGTCCATTGAGAAGGCAAGCAGTATGATCCCCATTATACAGGTAAAGTCATGCAAAACATTTCCATGTTAGCCATGTTGCAACAACAATCAAAAAAGTCATGGAAAGTAAAGCGGGGGAAAATGTGCTTAAGTGTGTAGTCAGAGGTCATTAGTGCCCTCCTTGGAGGGGGACAGTGTTTTCCATCACGAGTGGATGACTCCTCTGAAAGAGAGGCTTACAACACATTCCATCATCTCTGACAAAGAAAGGTAAGGTAATAGATTCTGATACGTGGAATGGTTGGTATTGATGTGGTTATTTTCAATTGTGTTTATGATCTCAGGACTGTGAGTTTCATCTTCACAATAATTGGATGGTTTTTGTTTTCCTCAAAATGTTTCATAGTGGAAAGAAATCTTTTAAAGGACTAAAAACTTAATAATTAATTATTTTCACATTATGCCTATTTACTAGGCATCATGCAATATACAGAAGAAAGTACAGAGATAAATAATACACTACTGCCTCTGTCCCCAGTAGAAAAGAGAAAATATATTTGCAAATAGCTATAAAACAGAATGAATATGAAAAATTCAGAGTGCTAAGAGACTTCAGCAGTAAGGGGAAATTACTTTCACCTAGGAGAGTAGGAGGGATCAGTGAAGGTTTCATGGAGGGGATGGCCTTTAAGTAGGGCTTTAAAGGATAGATATTGTTTCAAAAGGAAGTAAAGCAGATGAGGAGCAAGGGTATTCTAGGCATAAGGAATGTAAATATTTCACTACAACTGATTGTTTTTATATCATCATGTGGATCGAAACTCATTAAATTATTTTGGTGTTTGCATTAATCAATTATATTTCTGTGTTTGCCTTAAGTGACTTTGAGTCATGGTCTCTGGCTCCAGAGAGGCATTAACTTATTTTTTAAAAATTTTTAAAATTAATTAATTTTTAGTTTTCAACATTCACTTCCACAAGATTTTGAGTTCCAAATTTTCTCCCCATCACAAGGTATGAACTTATTGAGATTGAGAGAGCTGTTTCTGAACCAAATAGAAGAAAGCAAGATATCATCATAAGAAAAACTAGAGGGTAAAACTGACTACATCACATCCAGAAAAGAGAGGGCACAAAAATGACTGACAATGGATATGGAAATCCTCAAGAAGGTATGTCTAGTCTTTGCAGTACTGAAATCTGAGGCTCATGGTCTGTATTCTAGGAAACAGGATGCATTAAGCCAGAAAATCACTGTCCATTAAGCACCTTTTTAAACAAAAATAATTGGGTTAGTATTTACAGTTTGGTACAGGCTAATTGGCTATGTCTACTATTATTTAAGTTTTGTCAAACATTAGAATGAAAGTAAGTACATGATAGATAATGTGTGGTGTAGCAGATAGAAGGCCAACCTTGGAGTCACGAACACTTAGGGTTAAGTCCTGCCTCTGACACGTTAGTTGTGTGACCATGTAGCTAGTCACTCTCGGTGCCTTGGGCAACTCTCTGATATTATACATTACAGAAAATGTGCATCTTCATTAGTGGAGGGAACATTTATACCAGGAATTCCCTATACTGATAAATCACAGGTTTAAGGAAAACAAAAAGAAAACTAAGCATTTTATCAGAATATAAGATAGAGATACATATACTATCTCTCTCTCTCTCTGTCTCTCTCTGTCTCTCTCTGTCTCTCTCTGTCTCTCTCTCTCTCTCTGCTTTTGTTTCCAAAGACTCTAAGAAGACTTGGCCAAATTGGTTATCTGTAATTTTGGATAATGATGATGAAAGTCAGAAATGATTGGTACATTAAAAGGAATGGTGGAGAGGCCAATAGGACAAAGTTTGTAAAGTCGAAAGGGCATTGGAATTTTGTGTATTTGGTGGGCTCTGATCATTTTAACAGCAGAAGAATTCAGTTCAAATGTTACAGACTGTCAATAGATATATAATAAATAGGTGAAGAGTCTTTCCAGGATAAAAACAATATATTTGATAGGTCACTTATTAAGTGCTTACTAAGTGCTAAATCTGGGGGATAAAAATATGAGCAAGCAACATAGTCTTTACCCTTGAGGAGCTTACATTCTTATGGGAGAAGATAATACGTGAAAGGGAGCAAGAACTGGGCAGGGGGTACCTAGGGGTAGAATCCAGGTTACTAATGGGGAGGAGGTAGAGATAAAAGGTCCAAATAGAGGAGGAGGTATGATATGGAGTGGGCCAGGAAGGGCTGTGGATACTGGGCCCTGGCAAGATAAGGTGAAAGCTCATCTAGCCAAGAAAATCAGGAGTAGAATCCAGGTTACTGGTCAAGTAAAGAAAACATGGCTCTGCCAAGCAAAAGTGGAATGACAATAATGTAAATATGATATTTAGGTAAAAGAAAACATTTAGTGGGAGGGGAAGTGGAGAATTTATACTAGAAACCAGTTTTTTAAAAGGCAGAGGGACATTTTCAGTCATTCTGAAGAAAGTACACTAAATTGTGATTTTTTTTCTAAACAGAATGTCAAATGAAAGAGAATCTGGAAAAAGACCCAACAGTAACTCCTCAGGCTCAGGAGGCCATCACAGTATCAAGTGCCATTGAAGAAACCCCTGCTGGATATCCTGTTTCTGGACTTAAGGATGCCCTTATGGATGTAGAAACAATAGGGTCGCAAAGCCTGGATACAGAAAATAAATCTGCAAGTGCTGGTGAAACAGATGAAGGGAACTCTCCAGAGATGGAACCAGAGCAGGGGGAAAGACAGGATGATCTCAGTGGTAAACAAGAGTATCCTCACAATTCAGAAGGCTCATGTGAAAGGCCCTTGGATCAAAACACTAACGGTTCTTTAAATGAAAAGGAAAGTCCAGCCCTTCCCCAGGAGAACAGCTCTGTAGTTCTCAGAGAAGATAATGAAGAATCCAGTACTCCACAGGACACTGTGGAAACCCAGAGCTCAGTTCCTGCTAAAGAAGTACCAGAGAATGATGTTATGGTGAGGAAACGAATTGGAGTAAAAGGTAAGAAAAAATAATTACATCAAATGAAGTAGCTAATCTACATTTTTTTAAACATTACTGTTAACATAATATGAATCAGTTCTCAAGCTGTCTCAAAACCCTAGTTGTTGGTGTTGTACCTATACCTACATTTCTTCTCAATTACTGACTAGTTAACTCTCACATGTGACATTCCATTTCCTCTGCGTTTGGATAGGCTGGCCCTCGTGCCTGGAATGCATTCCATTTTCACCTTAGCTTGTTAGAGTCCCCCAATTTAGTTTTATTCAAAGCTCAGTTCAAATAGGGTCACTTATATGAGGTCTTTCCTAGTCCTTCTTACTGCTATATCCTCCCACCCAAACAATTGATTTTATGTTTATTTTGTATTGTATATGGGGGAAAACCCATATATTATAACAATCCCATTTATACAAATCACCCAGAAAAAAAAGAATAATTCAATACAATATTTGGTTTATCCCTGAGTGTTTAGTGGATTTTTCGCTTGATACTTGTCTCATCAAAGGGAGGCCTGCCTGTCAATTTTGCCTCCTAAATGTCTCTCAAATTAAATCATTTAGGTGTATCTGCACTTTTCTTTCTAGAAGATCAATAGCCTGGTGGTAAGACTACATCCACATCTCCTGGTAAGCAGAAAGAACTGACATAGAACCTTTCCCCTCACGGATAAAAACTGATTGTTACTTTATCATTTACTTTGGAAGCTATTCATTAGTGTGAGTTATTGGGTGCACAAATTATCTATAAGCCGGAAACTAAATTTTGTTTACATCATATGGTAGAAAAAGCGCTGGAGAAGGAAGGTGTCAGGACACCTGGATCCTAGGCCTGGCTGTGCAGCAGCTTGAGTATATAATTTTTTTCACCCTCTCTGGACCTGAGTTACCTGATCTACAAGATAAGGAGATTGAACTGTCACATTGTAAAGTCAATTCGAATTCAAGATTAATTCAATCAATCAATAAACATTTATTAAGGTCTACTGTATATCAGGTACTGTGCTAGATGTTGGGGAGACAAAGACAGAAAGGAAATAGTTGGTGCCCTCAGATGGATTCTTTACTGTAAGGAGAGACTGTCCATCTACCCACACACCTAAGTGTATACAAAATGATACAGAGTTATTTGAGGAAGAGGCTGGGGGTGGGGGGACCAGGAAGTGGCATTTGAGCGGAGCTTCCAATGAAACTAAACCAGATATTCTGAGAGGGAAACTTAAGGAGGAGGAATGCATTCCAGGCATGGAGAGATAGAATGTCACATATGAAGGACATATTAAGAAGGACAGTTTGAGTAGGCTAGAGAGTGTGTGAATATAATAAGCTTGGAAAGGTAGGCCAGAGCCAGAAGGGGAAGGCTTTAATGCCAAACAGAGAAGGTTGTTATTTCATCCTAGAGCTAATAAGGCACTTTGATGGTCTATTAAGTCAGGCACTTTAGGAAAATCACATTGGCAACTGTGTGGGGAGTGGATTTGAGAAGGGAGAGGCTTGACTCAGGGAAGCCAATTAGGAGACTCTTGCCATAGTCTGGGCCAGAGGGCATGAGGACCCGAACTAGGGTGGGTGGCTGTGTAAGTGGAGAAAAGGGAACAGATGCAAGAGATGTTATGGAGATAACATCTATGAAGCTTGACGAATCGTCATGTATGTGGTGTGAGGGAGAGGGAGGAGTCAAGAATGACTCCAAGGCTGTGAACTGGTGTAACTAGAAGAATGATGGTGATCTCCACGGAAAGAAAAGAAGTTTGGAAGGGAGGTGAACTTGGAGGGAAAGGAGATCTCTCTATGTAACATTCAACTCAAAATTTCCAATAGATAGTTGGTGATATGAGACTGGCGCTCAGGAGAGAGAGAGGACTGGATATATAGATCTGGGAATAATCTACATAGAGCTGATGAAGTTGTTAAGAAAGGTTATGTAGAGAGAAGAGAGCTCAGTACAGAGCCTTGGGATATGCTCAGTGGTAGGGAGTAGGTTATGAATCCAGCAAAGGAGACTTAAAAATAGCAATTGGAGAGGTAGGAAGAGAATCAGTGTCATGAAAACCCAGTGGGGAGTAAATGGAGACTGAGAAAAAGCTGTAGGATTTGTGGTTCAGGAAGCACTGATAACTTTGGAGAGGGTAGTCAGAAGCAAGGGGCTGAAAAAGAAGAAGAGAGAAAGTGGAGGGAGCGAGCAAAGACAGTTTTTTCTGGGAGTTTGTGAAAGGTAGTAGAAAGATAGAGGAGAAGAAGGCAGTAGTTAAAGGGATGGTAGGGCTAGTTTTTTTAAGGATGGTGAGGCTGAGCATGAGATTCAAAGATAGAGTCTTATAGCTACATGACTTTGCAGATGCTTTTGCTGTTTCTTATTAAGCAGAAGAGCCACATGACTACTGTATGTATGCCCCATAGAATTAATATAATGTAAAACTCTAATACAGAAATTCAAAATCTGGATGTGGATAGCATTTTCCATCATGAGTCTTTTGGAATTGTCTTGTATCATTGTATTGCTAGGAAGAGCTAAGTCTATCAATAGTTGATGTCTCAAAATGTTGCTGTTACTGTGTACAATGTTCTCCTGAAAACCTTTCATTTTAGATCTATAGTGTTACAAAGTATAGAAATCCCTTGAGGAATCTAATCCCTTAGGTCAGTGATGGTTAGTAACTAAGTAGAATCCTTTTAGTGATTTGCTGTATTTTTCTTCTTTTGTTCCCAGAGGTTAAAAGTCAGCAGCAAGAACCAGGGGAAACACACACACCTGAAGAAAGCAAAGAGAGGACCCAGGATGTGGGAAAGAACCTTGAAAAGGATCTGTGGAGCAAATTAGCTGTTTATTACAAAATTACAAAAAGTAACTCAAAATATACATTTGTAGGTAAAAGAAAAAAAATATTGGCACATTAGATAATTGTGAGAATGGGTGTTACATTGAGATCTGGTGAGCAGTTTGCTGTGTGTAGCAATACGGAAGTTCCCAAAATAGGAAGGAAATGTCACAAGATATAAACTGAAAAGTAATCTTTTGTTAGTCGTTTTTAAATGCGTGCTGGCATTTTCCTCACCTGGCCCTTGTAGTGATTAGATTTTCTCAGAGCAGAGAATGGGTGACTTTGGGTAGAAAAAAGGTCAGAGGAATTAGGAAAAAGCCACTGGTGCCAGTAAAAATGGATGCGTAGTGGTACTGTCTTCATTGGTTCCTCTTTAACTTTGTCCCAAGATTTGTGCAGGATTCATGCTTTCTCTAATTTTCTTTCCTTTACCTTCTTGCAGGCCCTGTACTTGCTCTTTTGGCTATATTCCTTTCTGTGGTAGCCATCATTTCCTGGAGCGGTGGCTTCTCATCCCAGGCCCAGCATGTGCCCAAAAACCCTGCTTTGGAAGCCTTTTTGGATCAGTTCAGCCAACTGAAGGACAGATTTCCAGGCCAGAGCTCTTACCTCTGGCAGCGGGGGCGCAAGTTCCTCCAGAAGCACCTGAATGCTTCTAGCCCTACAGAGCCAGCCACTGTCATCTTTACAGCTGCTCAGGAGGGGAAAGAGACCTTGAAGTGCCTGAGCCACCACATTGCTGATGCCTACACATCCTCCCAGAATGTCACAGCCATCAGGATCGACGGTGCTCAGCGGACCTCCGAGGACAGTGACACTGTCAAGCTGTTGGTAGATATTGAGCTGACCACTGGGTTTGAGGTTGGACGAAAAGCAGCTGTGGTCCATCGCTTTGAGTCCCTTCCTGCAGGCTCCACTTTGATCTTCTACAAGTATTGTGACCATGAGAATGCAGCCTACAAGGATGTTGCCCTGGTGCTGACGGTTCTACTAGAAGAGGAGACACTAGATACAAGTGTGGGTCCAAGGGAAACTGAAGAAAAAGTGAGGGATTTGCTTTGGGCTAGATTCACTAATTCGGACACCCCCAGCTCCTTCAATCATATGGATTCAGACAAATTGAGTGGCCTATGGAGTCGCATCTCTCACCTGGTGCTGCCAGTCCAACCAGTCAAGAAGATAGAAGAAAAGGGTTGTTTTCTATAAAGCTAAGCACAGAATTCTATCAAGTATAGGCCTACACTAAGGACAACATTGGTATGATTGGTCTTTGAAAACTTTTGAGAGAACCACTCTGCAAAGCAGCATATTAATTTTAGGACAAATTTGCTCTTTTAAAATCTGTTTACTTCTTGTTAAAGCTTCCTAAATGAAAACTGATGAAACCAATCAGGTCTGAAATGCAGCACGATAGTTTTTTCAACTGAGAGTGCTTTTTAAATATGAAAAGATAACATCACAGGTCACTGCATTGGGAGAATATTCTTACTTCCAAGTGTTAACTACAGGGTCTTCATTACTGTCCCAAGGGAGAGCATGAGAAGGTACCTTCTCACCAGAGTTGATGTTCTCATTTAGAGGACTCTAGCCAAACAGACTGCAAAGTCTTGTTGAAGTAGACAGCACCGGGTGGCTAAGCTTGACAAACCAAGGGCCAGGCTTCCAGAGAGTTGAGTTGTTGTGCCCAGAACTCTGACTTAGCACTATCTGGGGAGCTGTTTGTGATGTGTGTGACCTCGTGATGGGGCTAATGTTTCTCTTTTTTGGGGGGCCACCTCATTTCTGTGTGTTCGTAGAGGCACCTAAGACAGCATAGAGAATGGTAGTTAAATGGATCAAAGGGGTGGGAAGATCTGGAGTTTGTTGAGAAAAGAAGATCCTGGAGTAAACTGAGATGTATTGTTGATACTTAAAAAGAGAACATAAGGATTTAAGGAAGTGTTTTTGGAAATAAGCATAATGGGAAAATACATACACTTTTAAATCAAGTCTCTTTTTTGCAGTTAGGCTCACTTTGGCAGGAGGTAGCTAGGCTTGAGTAGTTTATGTTTGTAATTTTTTGACTTCACGGTGGAATCTCATACTAATGAGGGAAGGTATGAACAGAAGCTTAAAGCGTTAGTGGCAATTAATATCCTCGTAGATGTAACATAAAAGCATAAAGAAAAAGAGGCAGAAAACATGATCTGGTATGTTTTGGTTCTCCCAGTATTTACCTATCATAGATGGCCTCAATATAAGTTAAACCAATGGTGCCTTGAAGAACTATTACATTGGTCCTCAGATATGAACTACCTCAGGTCTTATCTAAGGGGAGAACTAGGCTGGAGCACACATTTCTGTTAGGTCAGCATTTGAAGCTGGGATTAGTTCTTTTTTACTTTATTCAGTTCAACATTATTTTTCATCATGTCCACTTCAGGATGTGACCTAGAATTCTTGGGGATTTATTCATTGCTTTTGCTAAAACACACGCTTTTCCTCTCATTCTCTCGAGATGTTTGTCAAGTTTAAGTATTCAGTTTTAAAGACCATTTTAATAATAGCACTATATTAAGAGACCTTGTATCTTCTTATATGAGTAATATATTTTTTAAAGCTCAAAACCACATTTTTTAAAAACAAAAACTGACCAAAGCCTGTAATCTATCATAATCTCTTAAATTATTCTCAACAGATTCTTTTAAATGCTATTCAGATTTTTAAATGACTTGTTCATGCTACTTCCTGTTTCATAAATACTTATAATATGTTACTTGCTTGACTTACAGCATTGTTTCTTGGACATATGACATAGTACATAATATATGACCTACAGCTTTAAATTTTTTCATGTATACATCTGAAATATTTCCAGGTAACAGTGAATTTAAAAAACAAACATATACCCATAAATCAAGCCTTTTATATTAATGTTGCAAGAGAAACCAGGATTCACAAATCTTGTCTGTCAATTAAGACTCTTCCTTTATCCTGAACTTCAATTGTACATCTAGTGACTATTAGTACACTTGCTAGTAAACTTGCAAAAAAAAAAAAAAGAGGCTGCTGCTATCAGATTCATCTAGGAGAAGTTCCTGATATCCTTGAGCTAGCATCACTCGGATGACTTTGCAAGTGTGCCTTTTCTCTGGTTTATACGAAGTTCTAGATCTCAGGTTGTAACATATTTGATGATGAGGACTCAAATTCCCCAAGCCCTTTTGAAGACCACTTCATTAAACTCATTTCCACTTATACTGACCTTTACCTCTGACCCTGTATAATGGCATTTCTCAAACCTTTTTATTTTTTTTCCAAAATAAAGAACACAGTGTCAGTAAGCCAATATGAGAACATGAAAGCAAAACCAATTATGTTCTAAAATCCCTTTGTATTCGAAGGATAATTTGCAGATAATTAACAAAGAACTTCATAACATGTATTTATCCCTTCCCTTCCCAAATTGACCCCTTTCTTCCCAAATCATTTCTAGTGTGTTTTTCAGCTTGTATTTATTTTATGGAAAAACCCATAGATTGGTTACTGTAACCCAAGAAACATCCTTATACTCTTTCTCTTATTGAAAGAGCCAATTTTGTCCTCTCCAAAGATGATTTTTCTGATTAAAAAGAGCACCTAAGTGCTCTGAAGCAATACGTTAAGAAGCACTGCCATTGAAAAAAGACGGGATGTTTACCCTCAAACCAAATACATTCAATGATGTAAACTAAAAGAGTGGTGTCCGTGTTAATATCAAAATTCCCAATAGCGCCTGAGTCCTTTCATCGTTTCACCATTAGAGTGGCTGCTTTTGCATTTGTCTCTCTTGGATGATAAAGAATGTGCCTTACTCAATATAGTTTGTCATAACCAAAAATAAAGCCCAGTTATTTATTCTAATTGATTCTTGAGTGAGGCTGAAGAAATTGATACATTGCAGCTTTCAAGTTATTGTGTTATATTTTTCATTTGACAACTGTTGAGTCTAAAAAGAAGAGCCAAAAAATGTTAGCTGTATCAAGTCATTTGGTAATAATCAGCTTTGTAAGGACATCTATGCCTGGAGTCTACTGCTTTCATTCAGAGATCTTGTCTTCATTTAGCATCCCTCAGTGTAATAACTTTCTACCTGCTGTTGATCATATTAAATTGAATATGAAATAGCTTGTCTATAGTAAGGGTGGGTGATGGTTGTAAGTATTAAGGGAAGTGAGGTGATACTTAATGATCTGTGTTGCATCTAAGAGATGATGTTGAAGAAACAAGCCAGTTTGTAGCTCAGATGGAGCCTCATACATTCAGGGACTAGTCTTTAACTTTTCAGTTTCAGAAACTCCATTTTATCAGTTCATCCAGTAGGTGATCAGGCTCTAGGAGACTGGGTTACACTAACAAGATTCTTAAGAGACTCATTAATAAAGTAGGATATCAGTATATTACTTTGCAGCTGGGATATACCATTCCAGTGACCAGAATACTCATATTTGCTATCCTGAGCTCCTGGTTTTTCTTTTCATAGCATTTGGGAAACTAAATTATTATTAATAGTAATAGCTGACTAGCACAGTAAATTAAGCTTTACAAAGCATTTTATATGTATTATCTCATTTGTTTCTTGCTCTGCTATGAAGCAGATGTTATATTAGTATTCTCCCTTTTGCAGTTGAGGAACCTGAGACTCAGAGGAATTATGTGATGTGGTAAATGAGAGTCAAAGCCAATTTTTGCCTTCTTCCAGGTCTTACCCTCCTTCCACCATACCACTTCGGGTTTTTCTATCCAGGCTATGAGAATTTTCCGATTTTTCCTCTAAAGTATAGTTTCTTAAATGACTAGAATGCTTACATCCATCAGATAGAGTATTGCTTTCCCTTGAGCAATGCCAAATATGAACTGACAAATTCTTTATATCCAATTCTTTTTCAACATTCCTTATTAAGAATGAAAAGTTTGTCCTCATTCTGGAAAAACTTCCTATTGGAGTCTTATCATTCCCTATTCACTGACCACAAGATTTAGTTTATAGGAAAGTTTATATTTGTGTAATTTGCTTTAATGATCTTTTGGTGAAAAAAATGCTATATTCTTAGAAATAGGACTTGGCAGTAATATTGCCTAGCCATTATTAATTAAATGTGTTGGGTGCCCAGAATCTGACCTTCAGAGAAGACTTATGAAACATTTAAATGAAAAGGAGACCTCTATTGTCAAAATCTCTCACAAACTGTTCATAATATCATATCTGAGCATTCAGTCAAGCATAACATGAGTCTGAGGCACTATTTCTTTGTTCTTGATGTGTCCAATGGAATGATAAAGGCTAAATGATGAATTTCTCTTGTTTTATGCTAATGCCTATTGAACATATAGAAGCTATGCTGTATTCAGAAATGTCAAGACACGGTTTAAAATTACATAAAGCTAATCACTACTCAACCTTCTTAATAGCCAGCCTGTAAAGAAACAACGGGGCAGCTAGGTGATGCAGTGGAGAAAGCACTGGGGTTGGAACCAGAAAGACTGATCTTCTGGAGACACTCAGATACTTACTAGCTGTGTGACCCTGGGCAAGTCCCCTAACTCTACCTCAATTCCTCATCTGTAAAATGAGCTGGAGAAGAAAATGGCAAATCACTCTGTCAGGAAAACCCCAAATGGGGCCATGGAGTCAGACACAACTGAAAGATGACCTAGCAACAAAAAAGAAACTATCTCAGCAAAAAAGCTGGGAAATCACTTAGAACTATACCCTAGAATACTATCCATGAGAATTTCCTTACTTTGGTAGGCTACACCCCTGAGCTTTAAAATCAAAAGACCCTGGCTAGTATAGCTTCTTTACATGTGATGGCAGTGGTAAAGACAGGAGGTACCCTTCTCTACAACCCGGGTTAGAGCCTGTTACAGAAAGTTGCCCAAAGCAACACCATTTTAGATTATCAAGAAGCCCCGCCCTAAAGTTGGAGTTCCTTCTTTCAGCCAACCCTAGGATATGCAACTAGTTTAGCTTTCTTACCCAGTTTAAATCTTTATTCTTCACTTCTATTGCTAAGTATCACAGGGATATTTTAAGCACTTTATATGTATTTGGGGGAAGCGTCAGTTCCATTCAAAGACATTAAATTAATTTCACTTAATTGCTTTTGGACAAGACAGCAAGAAAAAAAATTGAGGGTTTTAAAAAACATAAACCTTAAGCCAAGTTTGTACAGGCTCAGTCACTATCACATTGATTGCCCTCAAAGGTGGATTAAGGTTATGTGACTGCTCAGGCTTGAGATCTAATCAATCTAATCCTTTTAGACGTTGCACCTAGGCTCACAACTTGTCCGTTGCTTAGTTACTTTTGAGATTTATGTTATACCCACCTCAGTGTTAGAGGATAATTTTTATTGTTATAGAAATAATATCCAAACTCATATGAGAGTTATTTGACACTAGAAGTCAGAGGTTTTCTGGGGAGAAAGGAGAAGCTCCTCCTATCTCCTTTCTACTGTCAGTGGTTTGTGTCTGCTAGCTGCCCTGCCCCTCTTCTCTCCCACAGGATCATGTCTGGGGCTGGAGGGGGCTCTTAGAGAGTATCTAGTACAGCCCCCTTATTTTACAGATTAGGAATCTGGAGAAGTAAAGTGACTTACCCTAGGTCACACAGGCAATAAGTTGTGGAACTGGGATTTGAATTCACATTCTGGGACTTCTCTGTACTAGCTGCCCACGTCTAGTTTCCCTCAGATGACAACGTGCCATATCTGATAGGGTTTATGAGCAGTCTTACTGAATCTAGGCCTAATATAGTTTCTGGTTTCTGTCAAGATTTCAGGGTTTTAATTTTGGCTACTTAGAAATGTATCTACCATTCATGATATCGAGGAAAATGTGTAATATGTTGCTATGGGATGAACTGCTTCTGGCAATGTTGTTTCACCTCAAGCTGTATTTTTGTGGGACCAATTCCTCCCAAAAAAACCCCAACAAAACTTAAATTGAGGTAGTTAGGTTAACTTGGGTTCAGCTCAGAGTGTGGCCTTACCTGAGGAAGCTTCTTTACAAGATGTAGTGATATAATAGTTGCTGCTTTGGGGAGATGTCATCAAAAGAGAGATGATCCCACTATGCTGGCATTTTAAATGGAAGGAATCTGGTAAAGAGATGTGATGTTGAAACATGGAAAAAATACTTGGAGAAGAGTGGGGAAGGGAGACACTAGAGATATCTGTTCTTGTCTCCCTCAGAGCCACATCCAGAAAGCCGTGATACGCTTGTGCTACTCTAGTCCCTTCAAGGTTCTTTGGATTCAAGGAAACAACTTATTCAGTTTAAGAGCTTGAAAATCAAAGTAAATTGAATTTTTTTTGGGTTACCAGAGCAAATAAAAGAGAATAAGTCAACCTCTACTTGACTTGGTTTATGAAATGTTAGGTATAAAAGTAAGACAAAAAAGAAAGTGATGTAGAACTCCCAGAGTGCTAATTCCTATATGCATAAAAGATTGTACAAGATGACCTTTGAGGTTTTGATTTTCTGTGAATAAGCATGGTCAAGGTAAAAGGTAAAATATTTCCATTTTGAGCATCAGACAAAATCAATAAAAAATTTACAATAATGACAAAATTTCAAATATATGGGCATTAACCTAAGATACAAGTATATAAAGAAAACTTTTAAGTTATTTTGACAAACATAAAGAACTGAACAAATGGAAAGATATACCACGAATGTGCCTGGGCCAAACCCAGTTAAGACTTTATAAAATGGTAAAATGTATATGGGAAAATAAAGTCAAGAATATCAAAGGGGAACCCAACAAAATAATTGATAAAGAGGGATTTTTGCCTTCACACATTTCAAAAGATACTGTAAAACTATAATTGCCAAAACTGTCTGGTACCAGGTAACAAAATAGAAAAAAAATCAAATAGAATAGAAAATGGATAACAAAAACCAAATATGTATAAAGCAGTAGTGCTTAATAAACTCGAGGTTTCACAACTTTAGGAGACAGGAAATATTCAATTAAAAAGTTGAAGAAATTGGATAGTTGTGGGGGGGGGAAGAGTTTTAGACTCATAGTTCAATTCATTTACTACAATAAATTCCACTTGGATCAAGAGCCTGAGTAACGATATGATGTGCTTAGTTCAGTGTTAAGCTATTAGAGTGTGATAGCTGACAGACAGACAGACAAACTGGAGAGACTCTTTAAAATGTAATGAATAAGCAGCTCTTCCAGTGGCCAGAACTCTGGCACAGTTCTATCTCCTGCTTCTGTCATAGAGACCAAAGGATAAATTAGTATTCCCTGATCGTGCATTTCCTTTAGCTAGAAGCTCAAGCACAGATCAATCAATAAACATTTATTAAGCATCTACTGTATACCAAGCACTGTGCTAAGCTCTGGAGATTCAAAGAGGAAAAAGACAATCCTTACCCTCAAGGAGCTCACAATCTAACAGAAGAGATAACGTGTAAACAATTATATACAAACAAGCTATATTCAGTATACATAGGAAATAATTAACAAGGGGAAGATAGTAGAATTAAGAGGGGTTGGCTTCCTGTAAAAGATATGAGTTGGGACTTAAAGGATACCATGGAATAGGCAGAGTTGGGAAGGGAGAGCATTTCAGGCATGGAAGACAAATGCCCAGAGCTAAGAGATGGAGTGTTTTGTTCATGGACCGAGGAGGCCAGTGTCACTGAATTGAAGAGTACGTGGCAGGGAGTAGGGTTCAAGAAGGCTGAAAGTCTGGCGGAGGCTATCTTATGAAGGGCTTTGAATGACTAACAGCACATTCGGTATTTGATCTTAGAGGCAATAGGGAGCCATTGGAGTTTATTGAGTAGCAGGTGGTGACATGGTCAGACCTGCCCGTTAGGAAAATCACTTTGGTGGATGATTGCAAG